ATCCTGGTCATATTAATGTTTTGTTATTTATTTTATATTCGGTTTGAGGTCAAATTTTATAGCTTTTTTTCAGGTTACCACTCCTTGAGAGTTGAAATGTAGACTATATTATAAAGAAATATTAAACAAATGCCTAATTTAAAAAACATGACTTGTAGCCGAAAATAAAATATATAAAAAACATTATTTAAAAAATATGTATATTCTATATCCTACGAAATAACTACGAACTCATTTCTGAAAAGTTTAAATAGTAGAAGTAAAATATTGATATTGACACTAGAAAACATATCAAAACCATAAGATTAAAGATTTGTAACAAATAGTTGCAAATAATGCTTTCTATATTAATTAAATATTAATAATTATTTGTAGTTTGTAGAATAATAATAAAAAAATATATATACATATAAATATCAGCATAAATTCAATTATAAAACCATGAAATAACCAGTTTCTATTAAATATAATAGTCACTTCCGTCTTAAAAATGACAATAAATTACAACTTATATTCATAAAATATTGGTCTCACCGTGCGAATCGTGGAGTAACATTAGCATAACTTTCGCATTTTTTCGTTCCTAGATTATGTGCTTTAGATAAGAAAGAATATATATAATAATATATAATAATTAAAAATAAAAATATAATTAATTAATTCAATTATTCTACAGCTGGTTTATGATGTCGTTCTAATATAAACACAGCAAGTAAATTAGTTAATAAAAAAAAAAGTTTCACAGGAAATCAACAAAACTCCAGAAAAATGTGCGAACATTAAAGTCAAGTACGGCTTTGGGTCAGTTGGTTAAGGTGCGCTGACTCTGAGCTTCAAATTTGACAGGGCACGAGTTCAACCCTTGGTATTTGCAGTCTCAAAAAATTATTTACGAATAATTAAATACAGGAATTATTACCAAAACCACTGATGATAGGCATTTGACAATACTTGAAACAGCTTATATGGTCAGTCAAAAATTCAATTAATTAAAATAATATTAAATGAATTCTTGTTGTTGTTGGTCACTACTTTTCGAAAATTTCTCTATGAAATTTTTTAATAATATTTATATATCATAAAATTCATTTGTTCATCTATCAATATAGACAAATAAATTGACTTAGCTATAATGGAAATATATATTATATATTATGTAATAAATAATAATGTTAGTGCATTATTTTAATAACAAAATTATAAATACATCTCTCTATTTCAGTAGTTTTAACACATCAACAAATAATGTTGAAAATAAGTGTTTATGGTAGGTCAAAAAATGTATGAATCAAAATATTCATACTTTGAAGCTTAAGTTCTTTGATCTTTGGACCACTAAAACGGAATCATAAAGTTTAAGAGAACATTTTTTATATATATTAAATTTAATTAAAATGCATTTAATATGAAAGTTCAAAATTATAAAGAAGGTACAATCACTTATAGCTCATAATAGTATTTTAAAGTTTAAAAGCATTAATTCATATGAGTAATTAAATTTTTACAATTTTTTTGAACTAAGCATGACAATTAACTAATTCGTTATGTAGTTAATGGTTGAAATTATTTTACTTATTCCAAAAAAAGTAAATATTGTTAATTATTTTTCTTGGTATAAAATATTAATAATATTGTTACTTTATACATTGGTTAATATATACATTGATTCCTTTTTTTTTTTGGAATAAATAAACATTAACACTTATACGCATAAAACAAACAACGATTATATTCAAAAATTAAAAATAATATGTAAATATATCTAATTAGTTTTTTCCCATTATTTTTGACATATAAGCATTTTATTGAATCATGCCTATTCATATTTTCTCTAAATATTAATTTTGTTCTACATTTTTATGATAATTTTTCAATTGGAAAATTTTTTTAAATTATTTTTTAATATTTTAAACTATCTGTTATCTAAGCTTAAATAAAATAATTACCAATAATTATTAAAGTAAAAAATAATGGGATTTCACGTAACATAACTAAAATAAATTACAACAAATAAATTGTATAATATTGTGATGTTATTTTAATTATAGCAATTTCAAATTTAAAAACAAGTATGTTTTATTTTTGTACTATAAAAAATCAGTTAGTTTAGAAGTGCTTACTATATCCAAAAATAATTAAAATTATTTTTGTATTTTTATAATAAATATAAGCTTTTAAAATTTTTGCATTTTTGTTAAATAAATATTTACCAAACGTGAAATGTGGCGTCTTTAAGCCGCTCTTATACTATTTATTTGCATTTAACATGTTTTTACCTCTAAATAAGTTTATTTAAAAATTTACACATTTGCAAATTAACATAAAAAATAAAAATTTATGTATCGTAAGTAATTACTTTTATTCCATATTAATTTTAATTTTAAAGTGAATAAAATTTTTAAAGTGAATAAAATTTTAGTTTTTTAATTTTTGTTTTAGAATAAAAATATTTGTACATGTACGATTAAATTCAGATAATATTTTTAGAGAACTATTTAGTGATTTATCCTTTGTTTTGAATAATTACCATATTAATATATAAAATAATTTTGTATAATTTATATGATTTTCATGAACTAATCATATATAAATAAAATTTCCTCGAAGTAGATTTAATAAAACGCTTATCCTGCATTTAATTATTTATAACAAAAAATATAATTTTGATATAATTTTAGTAAAAGTACATACATATATTTATTTTATTGCCTCTCATTTATTAATTAATGTATGTAAAGAGTTCTTTTTTTTAATTAAATTCTGTTCATCTATTTCGAAGTACACCTTTTCTTTCCCGAAATAATTTTACTCGAATCAATACTTTAAGAACATTTCTGGAACATACTGTTACGAATCTAATCATATCAGCAATGGAGAGTTTGGAATAATTTGATTATGGCAGTTTGTATTTGTAGTTAGTTAGTATTTTTAGTGGAGTTGTGTTTCGGATAATTGCTCCGAATGAAACACTATTATCTTAATACTACCGTCGAATAAAAACATATAATTTTTGAAGTCAAGAAGTTTCTTTTATTTTACTAAATTCAGACGTATACGCACAACAGACGTATATCCTGACCGACAGGTTCTATGTGTTCGTAAACGCGTTTTAACACAAAGCCATCGTTGATCAAAATGAAACTGGTTTAATTAACATATATGAACGAGTTTCAAACTGAGCAACGTATTTGGTCCCATCGATTGCAATACAACTATACAAGATCTTGAACTTTTCATAGGCTAATTTTGGTATAGACTTCCTCAAAATAGTCGTATGCAAAAAAACCCATGAACAAAAAAAACGTACGCGGGGCCTAGATTGATAATATTCGTTCAATTTTTTTTCAAGAAAAACTCCTCTTAATTTTTAAGGATTGGCATTTTAAAGACGGTTTCTTTTAATTGCTTTTTTTACTGGATTAATTGATCCGAATATTAATTTTTGTTAAAACATATTAAACGAGTTTAAATTGTTATTATAGATATATAGTCCGTTTGAAAAAAAAAATTTTTTTTGAATGCTATAGAGAAAATAGTAAATTAGAAATATACTAATTGAAAAATCAGTTTTAGATAATAACATCTAATTGTGAATTCTATATAAAAAATGTTTACAAAGTTTGCTTAAATTTAATCAGTTTTAAAGCTGATTAAACAGCTGAAACTTAGGGTTGTGGCTTTATATATCCGATTTAAATGATAATTGTATTGTTTTTTACTTTAAAAACTATACTACATAAAACACTAATATATGTTTAATTAAGTATCATAAAATTCACCAATAATCTGAATTAATACGCAAAATACACAATCGTGCAATATTATATTAATTAATGCAATTGAATTAAAGGAGACAAATGTGTTACTTTGCGATCTACTAAGTTCAAGGTGGCGTTGATTTTAGAAGCTCACTAAAAAAATACATATTAAAACTAGTTATTTTAAGACCATAATCGTTTTAATGTTGTTTAAAACCAACTAAATTATAAAATGTAAACATAAAACGGGTTATCTACAATGCATTTGACACATTGAAAACAATTAAAACGGATTCTAAAAGTTGAATAAATTGCAAACATTTTAATAGTAATATATATAAACCGAATAATTTTTTATGTATTACGCCTCATGAAAAAGTCGATGATGTTATCATCTGACTTAACACGATTTAAATATTGAAGACACGGGGAGTAAACTCACTGCTCTTATTATTTATTTATTAGATTAGATCGGCATAATAAAAAACTATTAGTGTGCTCAAAATTCAGTTCATATTTATTTAAGTTAGGTAGAAAGGTTTCGTGTTAGATAAGATCACATAGGTATTATTATCCGGAGTATATAAATTTCATTCATTTAATATTAAAAAAAAAATTAATAAATAAGATTTGGAAAATTATAAATGTTATTATTATTATTTTTAGCACAAAACATAATTATTGAAAAAATTAAAATACATAATTGAGAAACTGAAAAAACTGAAAAAATTTAATAAATTAATATTTTAATAATAATATATTAATAATAATAATAAGATAATTCAAGTTATATTAATTTTTGACGTATGTTAAATTACACTTCTCTCCGGATTGTCATTTTTTTAGGGTATCCAGAATCAGAATAGAATTTCTTGAAAATGTTGAATTAAACAATTAACAAATGTGAAAAAAGAATTTTTTTCCGCAATTGAAAAGCTTTATAAAACATTAATATCTTATTAAAAAACTATGATAATTATTTACTAATTAGCATTTTTAATGCAGTTTTTCTCCTAAAACAGAAATACATGCGTGAATTTTTCAACACTGCTTTATATTCTTTATTAATTATTCTTTCATAAAAACTCTTTCATAAATTATTTAAATATATATTTATGGAAACGTATCAGTTAATGAAAATATCATATATATCATAGCACAAATTTTGTACTTCATTAAAAACACAATTAAAATTAAATTCGATTTATGTATGCATTTAAAAGTGTCAGTATTGAAACTCACCTCATTATACTGCTTAAATTATATATTTTTTTTATTTTTACAGTGTGTATAATTTTTTATTTAAGAATTTTTATATTTATATTAACCACAATATTTGGTAGAATATTGTTTGTTTGCAGTTTAACCAAATAAAAATCAATATCGATATTAAATTTTACTTTTTGAATTTATTCAAGTAATATTACGTAGTTGAAAATTTTACTTTTATTTAAATTCATTCTTTATATAAAAACACTGTATTTTTTTTTTTAATAAATTTTCTACAAAAATTTATATTAAATTTTTCTCTTCAGACTTAAAATTTATACATTTTAATATTAAGAGCAAAACCGACACACACGACCAACTGATTTCAAAGCGCAGTTGTGACTGATCGACAATACCAAAGAAAAGTATAATTTAATTGCTAGTTTGACAACGCAATCATCCACGAAACCAACCACAATTGCTGCCAAGCACATTCACCACTGCGACGCACAAATTGTTGCTGACTGTGGTGTTTATTTTAGTTATTGCTGAGACAGTTAATTGTTTGTGCAACGGCATTAAAAGCGAATTTAAGAATCAAAATAAAAACTGTTAATAAAAAGAAGCAAAAAGAAAAATTGAGTGAAAATAAATAAACAAACGCTATTGAGTACAAACAATAAATGTGTTAAAATGCAAAATACCGGTACTCCAAACGGACTTAGTCATGCGTGTTAGATTTCTGTTGTGTGTTTGCTTGAAAAATTATTTTGAAATCTCTTTTGCAAATTTGTTTTTGTAAGTCTTTATGAGGAAATACTTTTTCAAAAACCGAACAAAAAATTAGATTGGGAAGTTTTAATAATTATATGTAAAATATATTAAGTGCAAATCGCCTCAAAGATGCATGTAATTTGTAGATTTTAATTCAGTTTGTTAAATAAAAAAAAATCAGTCATGACTTCCAAGAATATAAATTTTCACTAAGAAAAGAATAAGATGAGTTTTTTAATGTCTTTTTTTCAAATATGTTTGGAAAATTTTATAGCAGAATCTATCAGTAATTTTGTATGATATTTAGCCCGTGTGCGAATCCGAGTAAATTGAAGGAAATAATAAATTTTGTCAGTATGGCAGCGAATGCTGGTATTTACCACGAGTAGCATAAATTAGATAAAAATTAGGTAAATTAAGTTTACCATTGCGAAAATTTTATAAGATGTTTATTAAATAAATAAATAAATTTGAAATCTTTTATCCAAAAATAATAAGAGCAATAAATAAAAAAAAAGTTTTTACATAAGTGCAGTGCAAAAAATCCCTAGGAAATTTAAATTTACCTCAATTTACACGAACTCGCACACGGCCTTAATAAAAGTACTATCTGCCTACACCAAATTTTAAGAAGATGGAAAAATGAATCGCTTTAAAGTCGGTTAAATTGATTCGGTTTAAACCGATTTGTTTTAAACTTAAAGTACTGTACTAAGTTTGAGTACTTAACGTAGTGCAATACTTTATATATTTTTATGATTATTCAACTAGTTCTTATAAATTTAATCATTATATTGACATGAAAACCGTTTTACTTTCCTCTATATCTTCCACCGATTGCCCTTTATTCTTTCAATTATTATATCCAAAAAAATTTTTTTTAATTACAGACTATAATAGTTTGAATTTCAAAGAAAACTTCAAAATTTTCATAATATTTAATCACCTAATTAGAAATCAGTTATGGAAAATTAGTATTATAACCAGTGCACGTATGCACTGAGATAATTAATGATTTTGCATTAATGATTAATGTTTTTGAACTCAAATTATTAAATTTATAATTATAAAATAATAAATAGCTTCTATTCTAATTATGAAGGATGAAAAAAAGATATATTACTTCATTTTGAGTAATGTATTTATTGCATAATTATTGTTTTATATATATGCAATATTTAAAAACACTGCTATGTATATAATTTTAGTAATAAAAAAATTAATTAAAATATTTTTATAATATACGTAATATAACACAACAATACAATAATTATTTAATCATTTATGACGCTTTTATACTTCAATTGAAGTTTATATTTAATTTATTTAAAATTTTTAAGAAATAATAAATTAAGATGATTCCATGGTTCAAGAAAAAAATCTGTTCTTTTAAAATTAAAAAAGAATAAAAATTCTGTTTCTCTTCTATTTTGCAATAATTTTGCAAATAGTATTACTTATTGCTGTTTTTTTATTGTTATAATTTTTTTGATTAATAAAATGTTATTAAAAGTCTCATTTCTCAATTAATATAATATCACGGAGCAGTTGTGAATGGTTTTTTTTTGTTTCTTAGATTCAGAAACCAAGAAGTGATTTGTATGGGAACATTTATAAAATTAATCTCTGTCTATATATGTATTAAAGAGGAGTAGAAGTAATAAAGAGTAAAGAGGAGTAAATAATATCGTAGCTCAATTTAATATTATAAACATTACTTTTTCGTCACACGATTCAATTGGGCACGATTTCTATTTCTGACTTGATTCGATTAGGCAATTGATTTAAGTTAAGCCACATATTCTGACTAATTTTTTCTACTACGTTATATGCCGATTTTATTATTGAGTTCTTATTGTGCCGAAGTTTTTAATAAAAGATGGAAAGATCTAATGATATGTAGATATCTATATGTAATTTGGCCACTTTCCACTAAAAGGAAATCCAATTCTCTCATTGAGATACTCCGTAGAGATATTACTCTACAGGTTGGTTTACTTACAGGTCCTTGTTTAACAGGTAACCATGCTAGAAGATTTAATCTCCTCTTTAATCATACCTGACGCAGCTGTGCAGAAGACGATAAAAGTGCCTCTCATTTACTTTGTCTTTGTCTACATCATGCACGACGGTGACTCAACAGTTTAGGGGTCCACTTCTTTAAAGATCTTGATCAACTGCAAGATCTCCCACTAAACAGCATTTTAAGCTTTGCTTGGGATCGCTGATATAACTTAATCTAACATATACCGATTAACTCAGCAGTCTTAAGCACATTAAACAAAAAGGTTAATTTATTATTGTTATTACGAATATATGGTGTTGTTGGTTTTGTTAAATGAAATAAACTTAAATGAAATTTATTTTTTATTAATGTTATAATAAAAATTACGGAGGTAAAACCGATTTATTTTCGAACATTTCACCTTCGTTGCTTATTTGATTTATGTAAAAATAAGTTCAATCAAACTACATTTTATGAACGAACAAAAAATGATTCCAGATATTTGACTAACGTCCAGCAATTGAATCCTTTTGTAGGATTAATATTTAGAAATCTTAATTGATCTATTTGGATCATATGAACAGTGGTTAAACGGGTAAACTGGTGAGACGGTGGGGTATTTATGAAAATCCCAAAGAGGTTATTGAATATAGTGAATATAGAATTATATAGTTTTTTGAATGTTGTTTTTTTTCCTATTAAAAATTTTCATAATGTTATATTATGATAAGTTTTCGAATTGCACAATTTTTAATTAAAATACATGTTAAAATTTAATAAATATATAAATTAATATATAGTATTATATTCCAGTTAATTATTTTTCAATCCTAAAACAATTTATTATCTATCGTTTATATAATAATTATTTATAACTGATTAATAATAATATATATCGATTCTTGAAATTCTATAAAAGCATTTTTTGCAATTCCAATTACTCTGTCTGTTTCAAAACCGAATTAAATGACTTGGCATCACATTTGCATTTCTGCGCCATCTGAAGAGAACAATTTTAAATTTAATGGTTTGGCAGCACTATAGCACGTGTTGAACTCAAAACAAAACAAATGAAAAGCCGCGGCTATTAAAAGCTTTTTTTTGGTTGTGAATAAATGTTAAATAATTGAAATTAAAATATTTATAACAAAATGACGTCTCAGAAGTTGGAATATGATTCAACTTTAGGCGGTCCAGTTGTGCTGGCAAGTCACATACCAACGTATCGCTATGCCGCAGCAGCCTTAAAGGAAATGAATACATTAATGACTGCTGTTCAGCAACCAACAAGCACGAAATTAGTATTTCAAACACTTCCCAAACATATGCGCCGACGTGCTATGTCACATCATCCGAAACGACTTCCACGAAAATACCGTTCAATGCATATTGCGCAAATGTCTAAATCTGGTAAACCAAAACTTACAAAACGTCCTTCACGTAAATTCCGCCGCCGGCCAGCAAATTTATTATGTGATTACATACGTCGGCAACGTAAACACGTTTGGTTGGAAACTCATATTTGGCATGCCAGACGCTTTCATATGATAAACTGTTGGGGATATCGTTTGCCGTACTCGAGTTGTGCAAAAAACTACAGAGCATGTTACCGAGCGTCCGCCCAACATTGTTTGCTGCAGGATAAGTCATTTTATGCGTGCATTCAATTGACGGGTAGTTTGCAGGGTATAGGAAAAGGATTTCAAAAAATATCTAGTAGCAAAACTGGCCTTAGCATAACTGCTAAAACGTACATTACTGGTAAACGGGAAGGGCACATACAACTATTTAGAAACGGCAAATATCCTAATGGTGCTATTGCGAGCGTTACGTTTTTATGGCAACCGTTACAAAGTGAAGAGCAAATGAGCAATGAAAATATTAAACGAAGACTTTGGATTTGGGTACACCCAAGCGCATATCAGACTGTCTTAATGGAGTTATTAGAACTTTTCGATATGATATCGATAAGAAATACAACAGTTGTAATAAAATCAGAAGACGACAAATTTGAAGAAGATTTAATTAAAACAGGTTAGTTTTTAAGATCTTTTATGTACTACATATATTACCAATTTTTTTTTTGCAGAATCAGATGCCAAAGATAGTACGAAACCAAAATTAAATGTGAAAGCTGAAAGGCAATTACAGTTTATGACAAGAACAAATGCATACGAACGCAATAAATGTTATAAAAACACTAACGGCACAATAGAACTTACAGAACTAAAGAATACAATGAACCGGTTCTCTCTTACTGGTCCATTGTCTCAAAGTGTGCTTTCGCATGCATTTAAACCTAAGGAGTATAATTTAGAAAATGAACCTGATAACTGGTTTCGAAATTTTCTTGAAAAAAACAGTGACTTTCAGGAATTTCATACGTTTCAATGCAAATTTTGGCAAAATTGTGAGCATTTAAATACACCTGCGACCTTTATTTCTAACATGGTTATTGCTCTTAATATAGAGGATCCGCGTATACATCGACCACAAAAACGTACTAAAGCGGATAATGTAGTATCTCTGCATCATAACGAAAATAAGCTGGAAATTTTCGAGGCTTTCCAAAAGCCTAAAAGTATTTTGGCACAAACTGCACTTTGGGATCTTGATATACGTAATCGAATAGGAAAAGAAATGTTAACAACAAATGCATATTGTAAGCTACGAGAGAAACATGTATTGGTACCGGGAGCAAGTTGTGCATTTGAAAAAGAATTGCAGCCGATTCCGGTGCTGCTAATTCAACGTCCTGGGTCACTAAATTCACATTACAAACGCCAAAACTACGGATGTGGTTGGGATGTTATTGCACCTGCGGGTTACGGTATGGCCATATGGACGGCTCTTATTATGTGGGGTGCTAAACCAGGAGGACTACGAGAAACTGCGAGTTTAAACAGGGAAATGGGTACCGATGAACACTTGCCTGACACAATTGGTGGTATGATCACTTTTTATTAAATGATATTTAGAATTAATTTTGAAGCTTTTACTTGTTAGGTTTTTATACTGCGGCAGAAACATATGAAAGACTTCGTGGTAAATATTTTCGATTGCCACCGAACAGACGCTGCAATTACACAAAATTGGCAATAGTAAGTCCTTTTCGTGTGCCTTATACAGAACTTGTGCGTGATTGGCAAGTGACGCCGGACATCGACGTTAAATTATTTCACATATTACGTGATCGATTCCAACTGAAAGAACTCCAATTAAGTTTAACCAATAAAGCGATTGGTTTTCCCAAAGAAATAAATGAATTTTCATTAATACAAGTTTTACTGCGTATGAAATCACGTGGTAATCCAGGAAATTTTGCACTAATTTGTTTGCCTACAAAAACCGATTTGTGGAACAACTTAGAAAAAATTCAAGAAAACGATCACAATCCTATTTATACGGAACCATTACTACCAGATTTAAACGAAAAAGTGCGAAAAGAATCACGAGTTGAACACAAAAGTTGGTTGAAGCGTTTGCGTGCAAGACGTGTACGCGATAAACGTAAGGAACAGGTGAGTTATTATTATTCTTATTTTCACTAAATGAAAAATAAAAATTCGAATTATTTTTGTACAGGAAACAAGTAATAAACGAGTTTATATACGTCCTGCAAATACGTCATATATAGTGAATGAACAATTTAAGAATATGTGTCGACTTTGGTTGGCGGAAAACATACATTCTTCGTACAGTGTGCGAAGGCAATGCACTCGTGAAGTTTTTGGTTACATTACAAATTCCAGTTTTAGCTACACTGAAGCCACAGTTTGCGCCATTGGCTATATTGTACCAAACGGTCTAAGACTGCTATTAGAACTATGTAAAAAAAATGGTTTAAAGAATCCAATGTGTTTGGTGCGTGGCACAGACACGCGTCATTATAGATTTGCTACTATGAAAATTAATACCGAATTTAGATGAACTTTAAGTATAAATTTATTTTCTTATTTCATAACTATTTCATTTTTTAATTATTAACGAACTAATATTACTTTTTACAAACAGAAACATTGTTAAACCTATTCGGTCTACAATATAGACTACAACTAGTAAAATATGTACAAGTCCTCTGTAAAGGACATACGTTCAAGTCTAATGTGCTTCACATAACTTAATATTAATATTAGTTTTGTTGTTTACTATGAGATTTGACAGCATTGAGCTTTCCTAGTCGGGATATCACTACTGTCACCGATCTGTAAATAAAATAGCGGAAATTGCTGGTAAATAAAATAAAGTGATATGCAAGAAAACACATGTAATTGCGCGGAAATTAAATAAAAACATTTCATTAAAAAACAAACACAAGATAAATGATTTGCTTGTTATATGCAAACATTTCGGGAATAACAAAATACACAACAATGATACTTAATAATTTTTGATACTAAAAACATTTAAACATTTTTTTAAAGACATTTTATTTTCACCAATTTTTAGCAAATTGTTAACTCAAAATTTATTTCTACTTTACTTTTCAAAATTTATAATCTATGTAAGCAAACAATTTAGAAAATGTATTATGCAATTTGTTAAAACATATATAATTTAATAGTTTGTGTAATTTTAAAATTCATTAGAGATTTACAGCACCATTTCCACACTCCATTCTTGCCCGTAACTAATTTTGAACACATATTTTGTAGAAATTTTTCTCAATAGGTCCCAATACCAGATTTGTTTTTAAAAAATGTATTAAACAAAAAACATGCATTTAAGAATTCAAATTAAACTAAAATGAACTTTTTTAACAAATTAACATGAAAAATTAAAACGTGCAAAAAAAGTGTATACTTCAAACCATTTTTAATTTATAATTTTTTTAATTTGACTCAATAGTGCTCAACTACAAGCGATTGTTTGTCGTTTGAAATCTCGGCTATTATAAAAATATAAGAAAATAAAAAAATAAACAATTAATCGTCTACTTTATATAAAAATTAATTTAGAAATGTCTTAGTATTGTTTATTAATTTATTGAAACTAATTTTAAGTAAGTATTTTCTTATGCGCCTTAGCACGCTAAGCTATAATTTATATTATTTATAGCCTATAGAATAATACATGAAATTAATTTTTTTTACTTTTAAATTTTTTAATTAAACGTTATTCTTAATTTTTGAAATTAATAAAATATACTGATACAATTGTGAATAAAATTTGTAATTTATTCAATTAATTTTTTTTAATTTAGTAAACTTAAGCGAGCAGATCAACCAACTAATTTAGGTTTCTGAGTAACTAGTGTAACTGAGCTAAGTATAGAACTTTTTTATGTTCTTATGTTTTTATAATAATCTAGCGATCTGCTGAATATTTAAGTATTTATTGCATTCGTTTTCATTTTAGAGCAAATCAGTATTTAAAATAGATACATTGTTTGTATTATTGTTTGACAGTTTTCTTTAATTTACCCAACTTGCAACTGCAGCCTAAAAATAGAAAAAAATTTATGTTATTAAATAATAAAATAATGTATATGAAAAATAGAAAATTATATTTATAAGCAATATTATTTTATAAGTAATAAATATTAAAGACAATTTGTCAGTAATTCAATAATAGTTGTGCAAAACAAATTATGTTTTATTTTCAATTTTTAAAAATGCAATCTCAGTTCGGATTGCCTATATAAGGCAATGATAATACCAGAAATGTTTGGAAGCAAATTTTAGACCAAATGTACGGTTGAGAATCATTTAACAACTCCATGTTCACAATAATATTTTAAAATATAAAATTTTTTAAATTTATTTTTCGACCTTTTTATTAGAATAGTTTTTTAAATATTTTAAATCTGGCTGTAGCTCCCTTCTTGTTAAATAATTAAGCGTTTGATATTTCTTATTTTTTTATTATACTCTATATGATGATGACTCTCAAGGAGAGTCGAAATCGGTTCAAAGTCAGATTAAAAATATATATAAAACCATTTTAAAATATATTAAAAGCAATTAATTTAATAAAAAACAAAAATTATATTGTTATAAATGTATGAATTTCAATCTAATAAAATATGTTATCTTAAGCCTTTTCCGAGTTAGTGCATCTGGGTACTTTTACTCTAGTTAAGTAATTTAAAGAATTTATGAGATGGTTCATTATGTATAGAAAATAATTTAAAAAGTTAACTGCTGTAATAATTTAAAGCATTAAAATGATTTTTGTTTAGAGTGTACCTTAACATCGTCCATTTCCTCATCGGATGAAGAGTGAGAAAGACCGGTGTATGTCTTAAAAGTAACATTCTGCATAAAAGTTTTTAGCAAACTTGCGCTTAGTTGACCAAATTTAAGTGGTACCACAGGATCATAATCACCATGAGCTTGAAATATCTATAACAGAACATTTGGAATATTAATATATATTTTTATAAATAGAATAACAATTATATTTACTGGTATATCACTAGAATTTGTTAGTGAGGCTGGGAATTGCTTATGTAATGGTAACCAGCAAGACAAAGCAACTACTCCAGCGACAGGCTGATCATAAGTTAAAGCTGAGTATAAGGCTAAAGCACCACCTTGTGAAAAACCACCCACAACAATGCGATTAGATGGTATGCCACCGCTTATTTCTGTAGCAATCATGGTTTTAATATTTTCTGCAGCAGATTTAATGCCATCTTCATCTTCCGCACCGCCAATATCTAAAGTTTTCAAATCAAACCATGATGGCATGCGAAATCCAGCATTTAAAGTAACAGGTTGTGTAGGTGCAGTTGGACATATGACTTTCATATGAGGTGGACGAATCGAAGCTAAGGCGGAACTCCAACCATGTCTAAACAAATAAAAAAATTAACGATTTTTATAAAACATATATTTAAAAAAGTAAATGATGTTTAATACAAAATTATGTATGTATTTGATATTTATATTAAAATATATTAAGCTGATTAATTTGTAAGGTATTTCACCTAACCAGTTTTATAAGTTTTTTTTCAAACTCTGAAAATCCTAGTGGATTAAAACGCCAAAAAAGAATACAATTAATAATAAAAGAAGGAAAGAACAGTTTTTCAAGTAAAATGTGTCGTGAATCGTAGAGTTAAGAGTAGAGTAAGAAAATACAAAAATATTGGAAGAGTAAACTTGTTAAAAATATAAATAATAGTTGAAAGTAGCAAAGAAATGTAGTAATATTGCTGCCCAAGTTGTTTCATTAATTTTATGCTTGCACTTTTAAGCTTACTTGGAGACTGTTAAATCACAAAAACTTTTTCTTGTTAAAGAGTAAAAATTTAAGTATGTAAAATACGAATATAAATTTTGAAACGTTATATCAATAACAGTAGTTTAATTAAATATATTTAAATTATTTTGCAAAATTTTCCTTTACCTAACTATATCCTAAACCATATATTCGTATTAGTTGTTGTTGTTGTTGTAGCCCGCCGGGATAAACAAACACATACCTGCTTGCGTAGCTACTTTGGGGATGTTGCACGGCACTTGGTCGTCTTCGACGGATGGCTCCGTAACGTAAACCCGGCCGTTCTTGAAATCATTCGTATTTGTAAATTATTTTATAACCATATTACATAGATTAATACGGGCTATTACAACAACAACTAATATTGGACTCATAAATTTTAATTTACATATATGCCGCTTACCCAGTATCACCAAGTCCATGCATAAATATCATCTGTAATAAAAAAAAATTGAATTCAACTATATAAACCAAAAATATATATAATATATAACAAATATATGCTTACGGTTGACGTGTGTTTGGCGGTAGCCTCAATAATTACCGGCGCAATTGACATATTGTGTGATTATTTAATAGCCTTGCTGGACAAATCTAATACTGATTATATGATTGAATTCAATTTACGTACACCAAATTTTATTGCTTTTTGGCTGGTGGTTATCAGGTACAAAAAATATGAATGGAAAACACCGTACAAATTTAATTGCCGAGAGTATCTGAAATCGCAAAAATTTTAATTTCCAAATAATACAAGTGAACATTAATTTTATTCAAAGTAAGAAATTATATTTTTTGACGGCTTATTATTTAATATTAGAGGTTAGCTAGTCAAAGGTTATCATATATTAATTAAGAATATATTGATTTTGCACATTTATAGTAATGTATATTAGTAAATCTTATGTGTAAATACAATTGTAATAAATTATTCTGTTGAGTATGTATATTAGTTTTATTTGATATAAATAATTTTACCACTTGTAAATAAAGTTCTAAAAGTAAAATTAATTTTGTTACATTTACCACAAAACACAAGTATTTTCAACGACAACTGCATACGAAAAATAATTCTGACATTTGACAGTTCGAACAATGTTTCCAACTATAAACTTTTTTCCCTTTTTCGTTAATTGTTGTATGGTCCAAATTTCAGCACAGTTTGCGGATAAAATTTGGATACATGTTTATGGAATGTAAAATAAAAATTATTTATTGTTATTTTTATATAAAATTTGATATTCTTACTTATTTTTAAATTGATTAATTTTTTAACTTAATAAAAAATTAAGGTAGAATATATGTTTTTATTTTTAATGAAATATTTGAATTTTTTCTGTAAAATTACAATAGTTTACAAATACGAGACCTATACTTCCTATAGGGAAATTTTCCGTAGAACTCGAAAATTATAATGATTTTTTTCCTTGTGTATCGTTTTGCAAAAAAAACTCCCACAAAAGTTTAAAAGAAAACATTTTTTTGATTGATGTTGACTATTTAAGAACAAACGTTTTGAGAGGCTTAACATAAAAATCGAATTAAAAAATTTTAAAAGTATTTCGCCATTTTCCAAATTTGCCCAAATTGGTGGTTTTTATTAACAAGTCAGTAAAATAATTTATTCGATTTTATTTTGTAAAATTTGGAGGGTAAACCAAAACTGTATTACGTAAAAGTTTACAAATTTTATTTAAAAATTAAAAAATATTATTAAATATTAATGTATTGTATTTTATATAAAAGTAGCAGTTTATTAACTAAACCATATGATACTAATTTGATAATTGGTCTGTGACATTTTATATTTCCTGAGTACTTATATATATGAGATACTGCATTGTAATGGCAAACAGGAATTTCGTGTGCATTATGTTGGGGATAGTTGAGTCAGTGCATTTGAGCACTATTAATTACGACATTTCTTTATAACCTCTTCCTACGCCTTGACTGCATTATTGTTTATCACTTCATCAAACTAAGCAATAACTGACCTCAGATCTGCATACCTCTCCGAGTAGCCTGTAACCATTCTAAGATTCGATAACGCGGAGTTGATAAGCCTGTCAGTTTTCGTGAATTATTTCAGGGCTTTCTCCTTTATATATTTTTTGATCGAATCAATCTTAAGGTCCCTGAGGATGTCCTAATGTGCCATGGTACTTTAAAAAGTCTTCTCAGAGGCTGGCTTTGTGTAATTTCTAGCTGGCGAATAGTAGTGTTTGAAGCTTTGCTAAACGCTATACATCCATATAGAAATGACGGACGAATTATTTGGTTATATATCAGCTTCTTAGCACTGAGATTTTCATTTTTGAATAGCGGTTGGAGGTGATGAAGAATATTGGTACAGCTAATTCTTTTCAGTTGAACATGTTTAAGCCATGTGAATCGTTCGTCCACCGTGATGCCTAGATATTTATTGCTATCCTACCAGTTTATTACCATATCTCTCACTTTCCGCTTACACGTAATGAACAATCCTAATTACGTTTGTTTCATTTGTGGACATTTTATAATCAAAAAAGATTTTAGAAACATAGCTAATGACCTACGAGTAGCGTACATTCAATGGATTGTAAAAAACTAGTACAAAATCACAAGAACCGTTTCTGTAAGTGCGCTTAATACCTTGATATCATTATATTTAAGAAATAACGTAACATAACTTAACTCTAATGACATAATATAACTTAATTAAGGTCACATGAATAAGAAATTTACTATTTGTATTATACCACCATGTAAAGTTGCAAAAAAAGTCATAAGAATTAATAAATAAATATTTTATTGTACCAAATATATATGTATGTATATGTTATCATAAATGACTACTTGCACTAATAATTTTGATATCAATGTTGTTCGCAATCTTAATTCACAAAGTTTGGATTTTTATTTAAAATAACAAATCCTTCCAAGACCGGGGTTTCCGGAATGTATTCATCAGAAGCGAGCTCAGCACGTTCGTTCATAGCAAGCAAAACCGGTGTTGTTTGTGTTTGGAAACCCGTAATGGTTTTAGGTTTACCAGCCTGACCAACAACATCAAGTGCAGTACCTATACGTACGGGTACATGCAACTCATTAAGATCTTTATCAAATGTAATAAGCGTTCTTGGCTGCATGGCAAGCACGAGTGTAAAAAGTAAATAATGTGAATTAATTAAAATTGACTCCTTGGTATTAATAAATGCGACTACAGCAGTTAGAAGACCAGCGACAGCAACGTGGTTCATAAGTAGGCGATTGTTGTGATACGGACAAAGAGTTAAAGTGCCTTTGCCTAAGTGAGTCAAACCTTGTGCAATTCGGACAGCAAATAAATTTTCCGGAGTCTTATTGTGGTATTGCGCCAACTGACGTAACATTGCAGAAAGCCGCGCATTATTCGTTCCTGCACCTATAAGACCCATAGCAAATGTTGCATTTTGTGCTACTTCATTATCAGCGTCATGTGAGAGTTTGCTCAATACGTCAAGTATATTTAACTTTGGATTGGAAGCCGATAAAAGACCCAAGGCTAATGGAACTGAACGACGTATGCATGCCTCACTGTATTGTAAATGATTTCCAAGCAAACGTACTGTCATTTCTGCACCGATTTCCTCACCCATCGAGATAAGCGCAATTCCGATCACACCAATAGCTTGTGCTGTCGACAGATCCTTTTCTTTATCGTATTTTTGCTAAGTAAAAAAATAAACAATAAATTTTAAAGTACATTTATTTACACTTACATCTTCCGCATCAGTTCCGGGTATTTCATAATGATCTGAACATAAATGTTGCAGCTGCTGTATTTTTAATACGTCACCGGTGCCAGCAAAACTACAAACTTCTACTGTAGTTTTAGCCACAGAGCGATAAGGTTCGACGATTTTATTTAGTACAGATGTTACTTCCTCAGGTACTGTTTGACGCCCCAATTGGATTAAACCTAATCCTAACCAGAAAAAACGCATATTTACATTCTCTAAGTCGGTCAGCTGAAATCGTTTGATAGTTTCCAGCAATGACTTCATAATTTTATCGTTAGATGTGCCAACACATATTAGACCAATCGATAGAGCTGTCATGCACAAAATATCAATATTTATTGGTTTTTTATTATGTGCTGTAAAAACGTTATTCAGTGTATCAATGGCAATGTTGCGATTTGAGCCAGCATAAGCTATGCCCAAGCCCAATATAGCACCGATTCGAACATAATCATGGTTTGTGAAAATGTAATCAGATAAAATTGCGTGAGCTGGATCCACTTCGTTGCGAATACCGCAGTTTATTATTCCGCTTGCAAGTAATGCTCCTGCTTTAATTAATGGATCTGATGAGTACAAATATTGGTCAATCATTGTGAGCCCACTGTCGATATCCCACAACTTAATCAAGCCAATCGAAGCTGCACTCGACATCATACCATATTCCTTGTTCTTATATATCCATTTGTTAGCATCGTCTGACAACAATTTATCAGTACCAAAACCAGCGTTCACAAATCCATTAACAAAACTGATCGCGAGATTCTGTTTCGCTGAGTCGACCTATATATGTTAGTAGAAATCAAAATGAAATCCTCTATTTAATTATGCATACTACTATTATATGCATTAAAAATGATTACTTGTTTTAAGCCAAACTTACTCGCAATTTTGATTGATATTTTGTGTTCTCCAAGTGAGATTTGTAGATATCTTCTGCTGTTCTTGGTTCCATTATGTCTAACTGTCTAGCGAAATTTAAAAAGTGTTTGTTAAGATTTGTGTTTGACATAATGTCCGTAAGTAGGTCGAAATCAGGATCTGATTCATCCAATTCTAAACAGACTTGTTGACGAGCTAATAAAAATGCTAACTGTTTTTTTGTGGTAAGATCCTTTGGTTCCTTTAATATTTCGATTAGCATTTTCCTGTTATTTAACAAAAGTGCCAAACGCATAGACTGTGTATATTGTTCAAACTTCCGCGATAGTTTGAATGCAATATCTAAAATGGTCAAGTTTTCTGGGGCGGGTACATAGTTATAACATGTCATTAGATATATACTAACACGTTGATACGCTGCATCATCCACATATTCTAGTAATAAAGGAAGTTGTTCAATTTCCATCAATAAATCGCAAGCGTCGATTTCGGCATTGTTTTTAACGCTATATATTGTAATCTGTCTTACTAGATCAATTAACTGTGCACGAGTTTTTCCGGATGTGGAAGGATACTTTGCTACGATTTCTGCTGTTAAATGTCGTACGTACTCATGACCCCAGTCACCAACGGGTTGTGCGGGTTCTTGTAAAAGACGGTATGACAGGCAATCTCCATTTCCCATAGCCATTGATAGTACTGATATGATGTCAGCGCACATATTACTAGTGTCCTGATCTGGCATTTCGCTATAAACTTTTTTCATACTTTCATAATGTTCTCGCATAAATTTTAATGGTTTTGGTACCGAAGTCATCGATGTGGTCGAAGCTCTTATATGATTCGCCATCATTTCCAGTGTTTCCTTATGCGAGCGTTTGTCTGAATATAGTAAATGTTGCACTAACGTGTTGAGCTCTTCCTTCAGGACTTCGTCTTCATCAGAGAGTTCTTGCTTTTTCGGCACTTTCAAGGTCGCTGAATTTGGTGCCTCCGCCATTTTACAAAAATATAATTTTAATGTTCTAAATCTAAAAAATTTGGGTAATTATGAATGTTTTCTGAAATTATTGTGACATAAGGATAAAAATTTTCTTTTAAATTATATTATCTTAATTGTTTCTTGCTTTCGATTGTATTGACTTGATTAAATTTGGATTGTGAACTAAGTTGTACCCATAAAAATGTAAAAATCTGTTACTTTAGGTTTCCGTCACGACTTTTTGGAGGAACATTTTGGTTTCGGTAAACAACCGATTCATTTTAAATTAAAAAGGTGAACCGGTTTTTTGGTAAATAAAAATTCATTATTTAGGCTTTATTCCTAACTTCATTGTTGAAAATTACTTTTTGGATTCTATGATTTGTCTATAATTTCTCCTTACTCTAGTTCCATTGGGGACACAGTATTTGTGCAATTACCCTTTTTAATTTTTGCATTTATTTTTTTAATTTCGTGATATTACTTTTATAAATCTTCGAATTCGTTCTCGTTTGAAAGTGGTTGACTTTATTAGACATCAACCAGTAACCCAAAGGTAAAGATATTACGATTTCATAATGATGTCTTTATTTTACATTTTGTTTTAGTTAGAAAGGCTATATGAAGGTACATCAACATCAAAGTGAACGCTTGCGAACGAACGAACTTTTGCAGGTACCATTATCTTTTTTTTTTTGAATGGAGAAAAGCTCGAAAGTCTAGTTAGTGAGGGATTTCAACCCCTCTAAAAACTCCCCTTATTCGGACAGAAAGCTCCTTCAGAAACCACCGTTAGATAATACGTCTGAAAGCGTCCTGAGCAAACGCTCAAATCATTAGTCTGGTCGTCACGTTAGTAACCGTCCATTTGTTTGCGGAAGCATCTCTTCCCTCCGTCGATGTTGTTCAGCTGTTTTCAATTCTTTCATCAAGATGAAATAATTGAATCCACCATCTGCCAGTTGTTGACCGAACTAAACATGAAGTTTGCAGTCGATATTGGTTCGCCTAACTCCGCTTCTAATTGCGCTCTCAAGTGTTCGAATCTTAGACAAGCGCAGGTACCATCTGCTTTCGGTGGAAGTATGCTTCTGTAATTTACTTAAGTTTCTATGGAGTAAGTTTTGACGCATTTTTATTTAATATTATTTCGATATAAAAAGTATTATCGGCTGATATTCTACAGTTTCTGGTGATTTCTGTTAATGCTTTAGAGACTAGAGTGAAATATAGTATCTCATTTATGATTCAGATCACAAAGGCTTATGTTACAAACTACCATATTAGTAAAACTAAAGTATTCAAAAACTGATACACCTTTTTTGGGTATTTCAGAGAACATCAAAATATATCTGAACAAACACTTATCATATTTAGGTAGAGCCAATTAATCTGAACTGCGCCGGTCATTCGGATACAGTGTTTAAGGTTGGGATGTTTGAAGCAATCGTTAAGCGAGGGCATGAGTAACATTATATCTTGGTGCGACCCTTAATTTGAAACAAAAAAATTAATGGGATTTTAATAGAGATATTTGCCCTTATTACCTAAAGACCCTTCATAGGACTGCCATGTGAAATCTTCCGTTTCATAAAAAATAATTATTTAGGATTAATGTTATCTACACGTGAATTTAATTGTTAAGTTCCTATATAAGGGCTAGGTTAGTTTAATTTGCTTGATTACAGGTCCGAGGACTTAATATTTAAACCAGCAAGAACTCATTTCCTGTCGTACCAAAGTTGTGATATCTAAAATTACAATTTCTTTGAAGTTTATATACATATATTGCATAATCAATGGCTTTTTACAGAAGTGGTATTAGACATTATAATTTATAAACGAAATCTAAGCATTATTCTATCTGAAAAAAACTAGATTCCTTCTTCACATATATTCACATATACTCCTTCTTCAAACAAAATATTAGTAAATGATTTTTACTGGTTTTAATTGAAGCATGTTTTACAGACTATTAATCAATATAAATATATTTAATGCTTTAATATTAAAAGATGTTTTTATACACCTGTAGTAAGAACATTAATTGTAAAACTGAATAACTTCTTTCATATGTTTAATTTGATAAATTCGCATATTAACTTTAGTTCAATAGTTACTAAAAGGGTACTGCAGTTACTGGTAGGGCTCTACTATCTGAACAATCTGAAATAGTTTCAATGTGTCATACACATAAATTCATACATATTCCTCTTTACGTCGCCTTTTATGACTAAGTGACATTACAACAAACAAACATTTCCAATTATTTATCTTGGTTTTATATCATTCCGTACATTTTCTACCTTATAAGGCACGTTCACGATTGAATTACATCTGGCTTACACTAACAATATATATGTTGTCTATGTTTATGAATCACTCGTCCCCAAATAGCCACTTTGGGGTTTCTTCGTTCGTAAATTGTTTACCCACCTATTTCCTTTTTAATAGGAAGCGAGAGACTATCATCTTATTTGTATTATTTAATATTGCAGTAGCGTTCATCCCGAGAATGGAACTTTTATTTGTTACTCTTTAGTATACGAGAATTAATATGTTTGTAGTATTTTCTTCTAGGCTTACATCAACGCAGCTTCTCTCAGCAGATGTATATACCTCATGTATAGTAGTCAATGAGAATGTAACAGCTAATCGCGCTATTAATCAAATGTGTCTCATAGAATTGTTATTTCAGGATTTACATATATCAACTTCCCTAGAGAGTGCCATATAATTTGTATATTTATTATTGGAGAGTAAAAAAATATTATCTTTCCCCATGATGATAAAAATCTGAACAAATTATCAACCAATTTCAGAAGCCTGTAGGTATTTTTGACTCAGTCTAACTCGATCGGTCATTTTCGAATACTACAAAACTTAATTTAAATATTAATCATCGTTAGTGTAATCAATGTAAAAGATTCATGTTTGCTCTGAATGAGAAGAATTGTGCTAGATTCACATAGATTAGAATAGCACCAAATTGTAAATAATTACTTTCACGCATAAATTCTTCTCACATAATTTGCGCGTTACTTGCAGCTCAATTCTGCAGCAAAGTCATCTATCTATTTTATTGTCTCGCAGTGTACATGGACACTGGTTTTGGGTGCTGCCCTGTTCATATGGTATGGCCTCTTACTTTCAATTTTCAAATCAACGTTCTACCTATTTCATTTTTCACTAATAATTTCTTCCGTCCCTCGACACCCCACCTTGTTATTTCTCATAATCTCTTTCGTTTTCTGTATATCCTGGACAGTGCTTAGAAGACAGTGGAAAGAGTTGTAACAACAATCACAATAAGATTCATCAAGTACTTGCAAATATTAAAAGTTTTATTCAAAAATATTTTATAGCTTTTGCAGTATAAATGTTAAATATGCAATAATTATAATAATTTTTAAAAAAATTTAGAAATGATTTTACAGTTTAAATTAATTAAATATTAATGACATCGATTTTTAAGCTTTTGTACATGAAAGTTAAAATATCAGTAGCTTCCTCAATGCGTTTGGAAGTTGGTTTACCTGCACCATGCCCTGCTTTAGTATAAACACGAAGCAGTAAAGGCTTTTTCTGAAACTCTGAATTTCGAACGGCATCTTGCAGTGAAGCTGCAAATTTTAAAGAATGCAATGGACTCACACGATCATCGTGATCAGCAGTTAAAATAAGCGACGCAGGATATTCTTCGATTTCCGATTTTGGTGTATGAACATTATGCATGGGTGAATATTTATATAAATTCTCGAAATGTTCCTTATCACTTGGATTACCATAGTCTGAACACCAGGCATGACCAATGGTAAATTTATGAAACCTTAACATATCCATAACACCTACTTGAGCAACAGCAGCTCCAAATAAATCAGGGCGTTGGTTGATACATGCTCCAACCAACAGTCCACCATTGGAACCTCCTTGTATTACTAAACGATCTTTGGTTGTATAATTATTGTCAATTAAATATTGCGCCGAAGTTTGAAAATCATCGAACACATTCTGCTTGTTCAAAAGCCGTCCTCCGTTGTGCCACTTTTCACCATATTCTCCACCTCCTCTAATGTTTGGATACGCTAGCACACCATTGAAAGTATCGATAAACATAAGACCAGTTATGCTGAAAGAAGGCTGTAAGCTTATATTGAAACCGCCGTACCCGTAAAGTAAACATGGGCGTGGTGATATTTTGTCGGTATTCTTGCGTATAATAAACATGGGTACTTTGGTGCCATCTTTACTAGTAAAGAATATTTGTTCTACTTTATAGTCTTCCTGTTTAAAGTTATTTAGATTTAGTTTTATTTCCCGAAACACTTTTGGTTTAATATCTGGGGTTTTGAAATCATAATGATATATTGTCCCCGGATTGAGGAATGACGAAAAATTATAAAATATTTCAGAGTATATTTTTTTACCCGAAATAGCGACAATTGTGCCAATATCCAAGTCGAAATTGCGGATGAGCGCACCAGATTTTATGCAATTAACTTGAAGTGTACTCTTGACATCGTGTATATAGCACAAGAGCAATTTGTCATCATCCACACACTTTACCCAGTCTAGCACATCTTTTTCGTGTTCTGCGATCAGAGTTTCCCATTTTTCTTCGGCAGGGTTCTCGAAATCTATTACTATAACACGATAGTTGGGGGAGTTTTTATTGGTGCGTAGATACACTTTAGAACCAATATTAGTTATGTATTCATAATCTGATTCGAACTTGTCGATGATTTTATGTACTTTGAATTTGGATTGGATTGTACCAATTTCCTTTAAATCAGCATAATATAAAATATTGTCGCGACAGTCTTTTACAATTGGCATTATAAGATACCTTCCACAATCCGACACTTCAGATTCAATACGCCAAGATGGTTCTTCTGGGAATTCAGCTACTAGAACATCGTTCTTTTGTGGAGTACCTACACGGTGATAGAAAAGTTTTTGATTCTCATTTTGCTTAGTTTCAGAACCATCTGTCTTGCCATCTTGGTCAGGATAGCACCCATAAAAGAAGCCTTTTCCATCTTTAGTCCAAGAAATTCTAGAAAATTTCACTTTTTCTATAGTTTCATCGAAGTCCTTGCCGGTTTCTACATCGCGTATACGAATTTTTATCCAGTCCGAACCACTTTCACTCAAACCATATGCCATATATTGGCCATCTTCTGAAAATGATTTTTGCGAGAGTGCAATAGTTCCATCTTCGGAGAGTTTATTTGGATCAAAGAATATTTTAGGTTCGCTATCTAGAGAATCTTGTTGGTATAGAACACTCTGATTTTGCAAACCAGTATTTTTATAAAAGTAGTAATATTTGCCGTACTTCATTGGGCAGCCATATTTTGGATAGTTCCATAATTTGACAAGTTTTTCATTAAATTTTTTCCATTCCTCGCAGTTTTCCAGAAAAGGTTGACTGATTTCATTTTGCGCATTAACAAATGCTTGCGTTTCCGTTGAATCTGGATCTTCAAGCCAGCGATATTCGTCTTTTATTTGAGTGCCATGAAAGTCATCTACAACAGTTTCATCCTTACGAGCAATTGGATAGGTATATTTTTCCTGCATAGTTAATAGTTGTATATTTAAAACGGGCAACCTTGAACAAGTTAATACTGTAAAACGAAAATGCCTTATCACAGCAGTTTGATAAAATTGCAATTTTGTAGAACGAAGAGTTCCGCGAAGAAAATATGATGCAGCACGGAAAAACATCTGTCAAAATGATTCTGCGAAAAAATTAGGAAGCGCTCACACAAATGTCAAGAAATTGGCAAGTATTCTAAGTACATATAAATTAAAATTTATTGATGGTTAAAAGAGACCATAACAATACTTTTTGTCTTAAATTATAATTAAGAAAATATTTTTTTATTTATATCAAATTGCACAGTACAAGTAATTTTAATACCATTGACAGACTAGACCAATAAATAATTATTAAGCACGTTTAAATCATAATTATAATAAAAATATCCTAACAGGCGATCCTAATTATTATATATACATATATATATTTATATACATATATATTATTATATTTACGCAAAAAAATAATAGAAATCATAAGTAAGAAAAATGCAATTTTCTGAATTTATAATATTAAACAGCTGATTGTAATAATTCACAAGTTTTATATGAATGCTTTTGGTTACATATGAAAAGGCACTACCACCAGAAACTTTGAAAATTATAATGAATGAATTTACACATTTCTAATATAAACTTAAATTTTTTAAATTAGTAAATATATGATCAATTATACATTTAATAATAATTTACGCTAAAATCTGTCTACGGATTATTTTGCTCGGTCGGATTGTTTTGCTAAAAACATATTTATACAGAAAACCCTAATTCTGTGTTAATTTTGTTACATATTGTTATAGTTGAGCTCGTATATAAGAATATCGAACTTTACGTTACTATCTGAGATTTATTCACAATATCACTAAATAATTGTACTGATGTGAATTATGAATTTAATTTTAACTGGATTTTGTTCAGATTAATATTCAATTGTGATTTTGATTGCAGATTTTGTTTTGGGTCTGATTTTAATTTAAGTTTAAAACAAAGTGAATCGAATCAGCAAAATAAAATTATTCAATTGTATTAAAATAATAAATTAATATAATATGCGTATAATTTTTATTATGCGAGAGTAATTACTAAAAATTTTATTAAAAATTTTGACAGTTATTGCATTACAATGACAAACTCATGTATACTCCATTGTGACGTCCATTATTTTTAACATTTTGATGGTATTAAAGTTATCCTTTTCTAATTCTATTATACATTTCAATTTCTTTCAAATATTTGAGTAACTAAAACAAAGAATCTTATGACTATAACATAAATTTCTTATTTAAACTACAAGCTAAACCACAGACAGATATTATTAACCACACCCTACAACCATAAACTAGAGACTATCATAATTGTTGGGACAAAATTTATTCTACCTATTATTCTGACATACTTAAAAATTTGACAAAACGCAGGCCCTTAGGCTGCGGTTACATTACATGCGAAATTTGTCTTGCGTGTTCGTACGAACAAATCAAATGTATGTCATTATATGTGAGTGGTTACAATTGCTAAGAACAGTTTGCGCGAAGTGTTGTTTCTCCAGTGCGAACATTTGATTAAATAAAATATTTTGTTTGAAATTCATGCGTTCGTGCAAAAGGGAAGGTGTAAATAGTGAAATTGAGAGGCGTTGTTTTCACTTAATTTTAAGTTTATAAATGGAAATAAATTTGAAACCATATACTACTTTTAGGAATGGTTTACGATTTGTTCTTTGAGGAATAGACAAACTTTCCATTTTTATACTTTTTATACCTTTTGTTATTTGAAATTAATAAATAGTTAATAACGAATTTTCTGCTAAATATATTTGATTTTCACTATCCATTTTGTTTTCAAAACAAACAAAACAGAACTGTCAATTCGCAAGCAATGTAACCGCAACATGCAAAGTGTTCGCATGAGAAAATATATTTACAAACACGCAATACAAAATTCGTATGCAATGTAACCGCAGCCTTTATGGTCGCAGTGCTCTGCTCAAGTGGGAGTTAGTACCCCGTTCATTCTTATTATATCTTAACTGTAGCTTTATTCTATTATGTTTAACTAATAAATCTAATAATTGGTATATTTATAGAAGAATTTTTTTTCTATAATTTATTTTAGTTTTCTTAGCAAGAAGTGTGGCAACATACATATTTTTGATAGCTGAATGCCAAAAATTGTAAACAGATGTATACCGCCAGTATACCGCAAATACTTTGTTTTAAGGTTCTCAATTAATATGGATTCAACCGGTATTGATAATAACATAAATAAACAAAACTTTCAAGGAAAAGATTGTTTTAGTCGCATGAACTTTTTGTATCAAGCTTCCATGCTCACTGCAGGCAAGCACAATACCTTGTCATCATATTATGGACAGCTTTGTAGAAACATAAGTAAAAAAACTACTTTGCACATGTGAGATTTAAATAAAAATACTGGAAATGAAATATTTGATATACATAAATTTTTATAGGGATCCGGAAATAAAGCGTAGATTCTGCAAACGCTGTTCCTTAATACAGAATCCAGGCTCTACAGCAGATTTGTCGATATCAACAAGAGAAGCTGGGACATTTGGTAAAAAAAATTCAAATTTACTAGATGATGGTATACAAATGAATATAAAATGCCATCAGTGCGGCAATCAACGATATTTTAGTATTAATACACAACATAGTTTTTGGTTAGAAAATAATGAATCTGTCCATGAAGTTATAAGTATGAAGAAATCAAACAAACACAAATCCAAAAAGAAGAAAAAAGTAGGCAGTAACGTTGGTACCAACGATGAGATAAAGAAGGATATTAAAATGAATAAATAAGATTATATTATTAAAAAAACACACAGGATAATTAAGAATTTATAATCTACAGATAAAGTTTACATATAAAGTATAAAGCGATTTGCATTTTTTTACGTTGGATTAAGATTTTTACTAGAGTTTAAAAACTTATCTCATATAATCAATTAATAAATTCTTATCAATTGAATAGACGAAGTTTGTGGATGTTTTCTTTTTTTTTTGCAAACACGAACTTATCTGTGTGCTTTCATTAAGGTTTAGACTTTAGTCATTGTTTGATTGAATTAAATGAATATGTTTTACAAAAAAATTAGTGCGATTCTCTTTCATTCAACAAAAAATTTTAAAACATGGACACGTCATCTGAGCGTTGCTGCAATCAATGGGAATTTTATAGTTGTACAACCAAAACAATCGAAATCGAATATAAAATTTCCTGCAGTTTGGTTGCGTGATAATTGCCAATGCAATGAATGTTTTCATAAACATACAAAAAGCCGCACAATGAACTGGGAGCGAATTAACCATAATGTGCACGTTGAACGTGTATGTGCCGTTAATAATGTGGTTAATATTACTTGGAACGACAAACATGAGTCCACTTTTGATCTAGATTGGTTACTGGAACGTGATTTTTCTAAAGATAATCGGCAACGGTATATAGAAAACGTTTATAAACCCGCTCCCAGACTTTGGTCTAAAGAGGAATATGTAAACGTTTCGAAAACTTTTGAATATGCAGATGTGGCAAATGAAAATGAAGGTATAATAGTTAAATTTAATGAAATTTTTTTCTAATTATAGTTTATATGTTTTCAGCACTTCTTAGTTGGTTAGAAACTTTGGCAATAAATGGTTTCGCATTGATAAAAAATGCACCAGACAATAAAGGAGTAGCTCGCGATTTAGCCAACAGAATTGGTTATATCAAACGTACCACTTATGGGTAAATATAATCAATCCATAATTACTAAGATCTTATTTATTTTAGTTAGAAGTGCTATAATTATCAGCAATAATTATTTTTATTAAGAGATAACTTATCTCTGAAAGTAAATTACTTGCAAATTAAATTTTTGCTTATGGCCACAAAACAAATAAAAAGCAAATCTGGTCTATTAATCATCTTTAAATATGTTTTTTTTGTTTTTAAAATAATAATAACACACATTACATATGAAATTTGCTATGTATTATTTTATTTTTTTTACTTATTTTGTCATTTTGTTACAGGGAAGAGTTTGAAGTAAAATCTAAAGAGAATGCGCGAAATTATGCTTACCTTATGAAGCCATTGCCTTTACATACAGATATGCCCTACTATGAGTACAAAGCAGGTATTAATATCCTACACTGTTATGTGCAATCTGTATCTACTGGAGGTGCTAATTTAATGACTGATGGTTTCTACATTGCTGAAAAACTGAAACAAAATTGTCCTGATTATTATAATATTCTAAAAACTACACCTGTTGATTGGTATGATATAGGTAATGATAGCGGTACTGACTTTTATAATATTTATCGCTCGCCAGTAATTTGGTAAGATTTTATATGTGTTTTAATTTTATTCAAAAATGGTTAATAATTCTGATAATAGTTTAGATATTGATGGGCAGTATAATCGTATAAATCACAATACGCCGAAAAGGGATAGTCATTTTACTATTCCTTTGGAACAAGTACAGTCTTGGTATGAAGCTTTTGACAAGTTCCTGGAATTGGCGAATAAAGAAGCTATAGAATTTAAAACGAGATGTGGTGATGTATTTACTTTTAATAATTTACGCATGTTGCATGGCAGAACAGCTTATGAAGACTCACCAAGCAATAAGAGACATTTAATTGGAGCTTATGTAGATTGGGATATAATATATTCTAAAATCAGAATTCTGAAAATGCAAAAAAATTAATAATTATTTTCACAATAAGAGTATTTGTTAAATATTAATCATTTATAAATTTAAATAATACAATAATAAATTGAAGAATAACATGTTCGAAAAACAGAATTCATAAACAGAAAATGTTTTTTAATTAAAATGTTAGAAAATGTTAATCTGTACACTTCGCAGTTAATCGAGAGTAAAAGTGCTCAAGAACACTGACTTAACTAGCCGCGCAACATTATACGCAGACCATATTTATGAATATTTTTTTGTACAATAGATTAGTAATTATATTTTTTGTGTTCATATGTCAAGTTTATATTAATGTTGTTGTTGTTGTTGTTGTGAGTTAGTGTTATTGCGGACTTTTACTCTTTTATGGTTGGGGGGTTTATCCCTGCCCCCAGCTTTAACTTTACTATACTATACTATACTAGAATTATTATCATTTATTTATCTTTTAACTGATGACGGAACGTAGATCAGCATATCTTCCTGTGCGTCGTGCGGTGGACTTAAGGTTTGTTAGGGCGTGGTTGGGCAACGTGAATAATTTTAATTTTCTGTCCTAAAATTTATATTAATATTTCTAATCTTCTTGATTCTTCTTCTTGAGTTAGTGCTATTACGCACTTTTACTCTATAATGGGCTTATCTCTATCCCACACTAGGCTTTAACTAGGCTAAGAAATCATATCATTTATTTGTCTTTTAGTTGATGACAATAATATTCTGTTTGTAGAGGTATTATTTGTTGCTTGATTTATGTATTCTTTCTTATGTATAGAATCTAATCTAGGAACGTAGTACTGAGGAAGTCATGCTAATATTACTCCACGAGTCGCACAGGCGTGATCAATATTTTTTTGAATATAAGTTACTTCGATAGTAATTTGAAATGTAAAACTAACAGTCAAAGTTTGACATTAATTTGACATATAAATATAATTTTTTTAATCATAATATTCAAATTTTTGAAACATTTATATTAAGTCAAAAATACGTTTTTTACTGACACAAATTTTTAAAACAAAAAAAAGAAAAATTGTTTATATGTTAAAAATTTTAATTTGCGAACAGCTTAAAAAGAGATATTTAAGTAATATTGTATTACAGATTTCGGAATTATTTACCCAGAAGGTAAGATCTGATTTAGACTTACGAAGTCATTTTATATAATTGTATTGTTTATAATTGCTTATTGTTTATATTTCATGACTGTTTATAAACTCATTGTGCTGAACTATATTGTTAATTACTTTTAATTACTTTATATTGTTGTTTTAAATTTAAGCCAATGCCTGAATTAATTTAAAGAATTGTTTTGAATTTAAGTACCAGTCATTGACTAACTTAGTGTTATAAAGCAATATCACATTTTTGTTATATGTCATTATAATTATTTATATTTATCTGAACACAATCCTCATGTCCAGTTCTGTATGCTCAGGAAGATATGCTGATTTAAGGTCCATCATCAACTAAAAGACAAATAAATGATATGACATCTTAGCCTAGTTAAAGCTTAGTGTGGGGTAGTGATAAGCCCCTCAGCCATTATAGAGTACAAGTGCGTAATAGCACTAACTCAAGAACAAGAAGAAGAAGAATATTATGATGTGATTTTTATGATTATCATTTATTACAAGTTATAGCGTATTTATTGTTTATAATTCCATGACTGTTTATTGATGAAATGTATTTCAATACATGTATTTTAATATATTTTAATGATTTGATACATTGTCTCTGTTTGAGTCATTTTTTCTTTAAATTGATGACAAGTGTTATTAATAATTGTAAAGTTACTAAGCTAGTGTGAATTCAGGATTTGAATTAGTATCAAGTAGTATTTACGTACAGACCCTATTTATGAGAAACAAAACCTTCACCCATCTTTCTTTTATTCTATTATGCTTTTTTATAAATGTAATTTTATCGGCTATGGTTTAATTTAACAAGGACATTTTGTTCGTTGGCTTAAATTTATATATATTTTATAATTATAAGTTTTATATACAACATAACTAATAGTTTAAATTAGTTATATTAGTGTTTCTTCATAATGACAAAGAATCTATTTTTAAAATTTAAAATTAAGAGGATTTTCGAATCGCGAAGAAAGAAAGGATAAACATAAAAATTTATTTAATTTATTGAAATTGGGCTGACCTTACAACGCGGGCATACGGACTATAAACTAATTAAAATTCGATTATTTGCTAAGACCACTGATGATGAATACTTGGCAATACTCGTTGTATTGTCAGCCAAATTTCAGTAAATTAACTAAATTTTTGTGTTTGTCCTTTTTTCCATTGCTATTCGAAAACCCTCTATATATTATAATTCCATAGATATAATAGCTTCTTTGTTCAGTTCAGTCTATTGCCTATATTTCCTATTGGTATTAGTAGTTCTCACTCTCAACCTTTATACTATTTTTGTTTTAATTTTTAAGAGGGTTTTTTAACTTTTATTTACGTTTCAACCTAAATATTGTTGTATAGCTATGTTAATGGTATATCTTAATATAATGTTACTAGGTTTCAAGGTGTAAAAGTATTATACCTGTATCAAGATTTGGTATATGTAAAGTTGTATGTGAGGTAGTTTCAATATCCTCTTGACAAAAGCCTAGTAAGTTTATTATTTTACTGATAGCCTTATACTTGTGCACCATATGACTAAATGGATCCACATACGGATAAATATTTATTTATTTAGGTAAATTGAGATAATTATAAAATTATTTTACAACGTATTTTAACGAAGTTTTTATTTATTATGTTGAGAATAGTTGACTCAGTGCACTTGAGCACTTCTACTCTCTATTAACTGCGAGGTTTCTTCATAGTCTCTCTCTACGCATTGATTGGATTATTGTTTATTATATAGTTATAATGAAAAAAATATAACCAATAAACTTAAAAAAAATTAATGCGTTTTATTTAAGATTTTCAATTAATGATATCTGTAGCTATATAAACAAAATTTTATTTATGTAAATCATTTTCAAATAATCACATAAAAAATGTTAAGCTTAAATTTTAAAAAATCACTATAGATATTATTAAAAATTTTAAAAAGGTATAGACAGTATATAATTGAAAATTTTATTATATTTTATAAAATATAAGTATAAAATTGTATAATTATTGTATTATATTGTATATTATTTACTTTATTATTACTTTATAACAAATATTATTAATAAATAAAGAATATGATTTTAATTTACATATAAAGTATTTGATTTAAAACTTTAATTGTATCATTTTCTGATTTACTAAAAAGAAATCATTTAAGAAATAATTTACATTTTTTGAGAAAAATATACACAATGCTATACATAGTTAGCCCTGGGCAAGCATATGTCTACATTCCATATTTATCATTGACAGTATTTTATTTATATTAACTACATTTTAAGTATATTTATATACAAAATACTATTGTATATTTTATTGAAAACATTTTAAAATGTTAGGATACAATTAATATGCAACAAATATAAAGAAAAATAATAAAATAAATAATAATAATAAATATAAATAAACAAAAATAATAAAATAAATAATAATAATAAATATAAATAAACAAAAATAATTTTAAATGTATAAAATACAATAAAAGTAAATTGATTGAAACAACATTTAATTTTAAAAATAATCGCATGTCATTTGAAAAATTAATGAAAATAATTTTTAAAATAATGTTTTAAAAATTTTTAAATAAATTGAAATTGTCAATATAATTAAAAAGCTTTTCAAATACGTTTAAAAAAGCTGCTGTTGCAGTGGCTAGTGCAAAATCGGAATTCTCTAATAATTTATCATCGAAGATGGCAAGTCCCACAGAAAATGGTAATAAAGAAATCGAGGAAATTTCGGTTATGAAAATGCAGTTGAACAATGGACAGAGCATGCCGGTGATTGGACTTGGTACATGGCGCGTAAGTTAGAAATATACAAATTATTTGAAGAATTTATTTCTTAAAAAGTATGAATAGTGAAATTGAAATGTGAAAAGTGCATTGTGCAAAATAGAGAAAAAAAAATCAATTTTCACGGTCGCACAACAACTGCGAAAATAGCCGGAGCTTATGACATTGAACTACAAAATTAAAAAAAGCTCCTGCCATTTTCTACAAAAACAATTTGCAATGAATGAAAAATTGACATTTAGTTTATTTAATTTTTTGCAATAGAGTTTACCGGCTTCCGTATATCAAGCTGTTAAGGATGCAATAGACCTTGGTTATCGTCATATTGATTGTGCACATAGTTATGGTAATGAAACCGAGATTGGCTTGGCCATAAAAGACAAAATAGATGAAGGCGTCTTGAAGCGGTTCGTAAAATTATTGCATCATAAACTATACATAAAACTATATAAAATTATAAAATTACAGGGAGGATTTGTTTGTAACTAGTAAGCTATGGTGTACTTACCATCGTCCGGATATGGTTAGGGTTGGTTGTGAGCAATCTTTAAGAAGATTGAAACTAAACTATTTGGACTGTTATCTAATACATTGGCCTACAGCTTTTGAGGAAAGTAAGGATTTATATCCAATGGATGAAAAGCAAAAAGTTATTTTTGCTGATTACAATTTTGTTAGTACTTGGAGTGCAATGGAGGAATTGGTAGATCAAGGTTTATGTCGCACAATTGGTGTTTCAAACTTTAATAAACGTCAAATCGAAGAAATACTTAAGACTGCACTTATACCACCAGCAGTTCTCCAAGTGGAATGTCATCCATATTTGAATCAGAAGCGTTTAATCGGTTTCGCAAAAGAAAATGATATGGTAGTAGTTTGTTACAGTCCATTGGGTTCTTCACACACACCTTATGAGAAGCCTGGTAAATATAAATTATTAGAAAATCCAACAATCGTGGAAATGGCTAAAAAATATAAATGTAACCCTGCTCAAATATTATTACGTTACCAAATCGATCGCGGAAATGTTGTTATACCACGTTCGATAACTAAGTCGCACATGAAGGATAATTTAGATGTTGGAGATTTCAAATTAACTAAGGAGGATTTATTAGAAATCGATCAGTTGGATATAAATGGACGTATTATGGATTTTAAGGTGTAAGTTTTTAATTTTTTTTATTGATAAATTGTAGTTTATAAGTAAACATTCAGAAACAAATTTTAATCTTTGATTTGGTTCGTATCGTATTTGTTTTTGAGTTCGATTTATTTTCATGCAGGGTCATATATGTAAATAGAATTTTTAAGATTAAAATGAAACTTTTCATAAGAATTATATCAGTAGTTTTGACACCAATTTTTTATAAGGCAACTCTAAATGCCTTTGGAGTTAAATACCATTACGATATATTTGTAAAATTTTGGGGATTTCTGTGGTTTTCAATTGCTTAAATTCTGTAATTAAAAAAACAATTATAGTATTAAACACTCATTATGCATTAAAAATGATTTAATATATGCATAAATGTAATCCTTCAATATAATATCCGGGGAATTGGGGCTTCATCCCCTTAAGCCATCCTTCTGGGTAGGTGCCTAGCTGAAAAAGTATTAGATATGTAACTATTGCTAAAAATTGATATGTCAACACAGTTAAACTATCTATAATAATGTAATTATAATCTATAATTGGCTTAAATTGTGTCGAACTAAGTAACTCGGTTTTTTTGTTGGCGAGACTTCAGTCAAATTTTTATTCTCATACGCCACGCCTATCCAATTTAAATAAACTTTTAATAAACAACATAAATTGTTACTATTTTTTTTTATATATTTTTATTTTTTTATATTTTTGATTATACTATATTTTTAGTAGTAATAAATTTTTAATATATTATTATGTTGAAATTTTTTTTTAATTTTTGTATTTTTACTTTTTAGAGCTGCTGGCCATCCACATCACCCATTTGAGAATGATGAATTTTAAACTACAACAAATTTTATCCAGATCATGTCTTACTTTCAACAAATTTTTTTTTCGATTTTTATATATAAGAATATGGGTTTACATTAAAAATAATTACTATTTTGTTCAAAATTATCTTAAAATTGTGATTTGAAAAGTTTTTTAAAATTAAAATAAAACTTGTAGTGCTATAAACTTTAATTAACTACATATATTTATTTATTCGTTTATAAACATCAGTTTGGTTCATATTAACTCAATCTTCAATATTATTTTAGTTTAATTTAATTTATTTAGTAATTATTAACTTCTATGTTCCAACAGTATAAATAGTATAAATAAAAAAACGATAGGTAACTTCTTTGAAGCGCAGTTGAAATGGTGCTCGGACGACGTATTTTGCTATCATCAGAATCAGGAACTAGTGCTAAAGTGCCTCATGGCATATGTGGACTTGGTAGCTGTCATGTTTGCTAACATCTAAGTTGGAAGCAACGAAAGACTAGAAAGTCATGTGTGGTTTGTGTGAAACCTGTTTGTGACAAACACTCTATTTTCAATGCATCATGTGTTTCATGCGAAAAAAGTCGATAAAATACATTATATCAGCGAATTTCCATTTTTTATATACCTAAAGTTTTTTAATTTTTCTAATAACTTATTTTAAAATAATGTTTTTTCTTTTATTATTTTGTACACAATACGTAATGGAACAATTGTACCTAAATTAAAAAAATAAAATAAAATAAAATAAAATTAAATTAAATTTTTACTGATAGTGAAATCAATTTAGCTTCATATCTTAGAAAATTGTCCAGATATTTTTCTAAAAATTTAATGTCATAAAAAGAAAAAGTGTAGAGAACTTCTAAAATTTCAGGCTACTGCGGTATAGACATAAAAAGTTATAGCAATTGGAAAGTGCAAAAGTTGCAATGAATTGCAGTCAATTCTGTACTAACAAAATTATCGTTATGTTTAATAATAAATCAAATAATTAAATATTAGACGTTCAAGCAACGTTATACCGTACTTTATATATGGCACACTTACGATTGTGCATAAGATATCAAAATATTAAAATTTAAAGATATTAAGATATTATACTTTTATTTTCAATATATACATAAGATGTTGTTGAGCGCTAGAAACTATCCCGCCTCGTCATCTCGCCTCGTCATCTCGCCTCGTCAAAAATATTGTGATTCATCAGCAACCAAATCATAAAAATAAAACAAGGCTAGAAAAACGGAACATGGGAACATGGAACTTACGTACTCTGCTGAGAGCAGGAGCACCGCAGGAAACAATTAGGCAAATGGAAAAGTACAGCGTTGTCGTGCCAGCGGTCTAAGAATTGCGATGGCAAAAAGTGGTGAAGTTGAATGCAATAGTACAATATTTTTGTTTTAGTGGTAGCACAGAAAAGTCTGAAAGGTATGGAACTGCATTCATGCTTAGCAAACTCGTGGAATAATCATGTTTTCGCTTCAAACAAATAAATGCTATGATTTGTGTAATCTTCCTGAAAGGAAAGTTTGGTAAACTTACGCTGATAAACGCCTATGCTCCGACAGGAGATGCAGATGATATCGTTATAGACACATTTTACGCAGATTTAGACGATACACTGAGCAAAATTCCATCACATGATACAGAGATACTACTTGGAGACTTCAATGCAAAAATTGGAAGAGAGCAATGCAATGTTTATTTAACTGGCTTACACTTACTTACACGTCGAATCATCAGACAATGGTAAACGGTTATGTTAGCTCGCAACTGGGTCCGGTGTGTACATTAGTGGCACGCATTTATCACACAAAAATATACACAAGAGCATATGGCAGCTTCCAGATTCAACAACAGTCAATCAAATTGATCATGTTCTTATTGACCATATTAAAAAATCGGTTATTCTTGATGTTCGTAGCTATAGAAGTGCGAATGTTGATAGCGATTATTTTCTAGTGGAAGTTAGAGTAAAGCAAACACTAAAGGGTGTACGAAATGACCATGAATTCAGAAGAAAAAAGTGAGGCATTGACAAATTACATGACAGCGAAGCGCTCCAACATTATAAGCAGAAAGCAAACGAATCTCGTGGACGTATCACAAACCATCCCAATATTAACGAGCACAAAAGCAAAAAAGCAGCAGAAGAAACCATTGGTGTGAAGAATAATCGTAGACGCAATAATTGATTCGATAATGAAACAATTGCAGCCGCAGTTAATCACGTAGCCAGAGAACAAATGTTAAAGGATTACTAATCAAAACAACTACAAAAACATACGAAAAATAGTCAATATAACATGCGAAAGAAAAAAAAAAGTCAATAAAGAAATCTTAGAAATTAGTAGAGATTTTGCAGATCGAAACGCAAAAAGTTTTTTCAATAACAATAAACACCAAACAAAGCGTGAGTCATCATGTGTAAAGACAAAGATAGGGAACTATTAGTGGAAAAAGAGGATGTTATCAAAAGATGGCAAGAACATTTTCAAGAACTTTTCAACGTTGGAGTGTAGTGCGGAGAAAGCATCAAAATATAGCTATTTACTTTAATCAAACGTGTTCGGGCTGAAGAAAAGCTGCCGGAAGCGTGGCTTACTGATGCACTAGCGCCGCTACACAAGAAAGGTGACAAACTAGACTATAACAACTACCGAGGCATAACGCTACTAAGCACATGTTACAAGAATTTGCTTGCAAATTAAACAAGCGCCTATGACCACGGCCGCAAAGTTCTTCGATTTACAATTTTGAGCTAAGGTCGTAGGACTAAACATTAATGAGAACAAAACAATATATATGAGAAACAGCCACATCCGAATTTTACAGCCCATTGAAGTCGGCGATTTCAATTTTGAAGAAGTTGAATGCGCTAACTACTTGGGTATCCTCATTAATAGCAACAATGACATCAGTGTTTGTATCCAAGATAGAATTGTGGCAGCAAAAAGAAGTTATTACGAAAGTGCGAAATTCTTTAAATCTACACGCTTACAATACAATTGTCCAACCGGTATTATGTTTCAATACCGAGCTTTTCAAATCAGAGCTTTTAAAAGGAAGGTGCTAAGAACGAATTATGATCCCATCCGCCTGAATCACTAAGAACTTCGACACTTCACAAACGTAGAGCTACTACAACTTTGTAACAGTGCATATGCTGTAAAATTCGCAAAGTCGCAGCGCTTGAAATGGATCGGGCACGTCATGAGAATGCCGGAAGATAGACCATAAAAGCGAATACTTAATTTTACGCTGCACAATGACCGCAGCAGAGGTAGAGCACGTATTAGATGGCTCGACAACGTGATCGACGACATGAGAAAAATGGGTATCCAAAATGGGAGATTTGAAACAACAAGCAAAGCAGAATGGTAAAAGCTGGTTGATGCAGCTAAAGCTCACCCCGACCTATAAGATGTTGTTTAATGATGCTTGACCGTAAAAGGCTTCTTCAAACCAACCAATCACTGTATTATTACAATTGATTATGATCTATTTATAAATTTACTTTTAAATAATAAACAATAAACTATAAAATATGTAATAAAATTATGGTATATTATACAATATTTTTAAATTAAAAATTTTTCAGCTATCAGACAAACCACAATAAAACGCTTTTATTTTAAAATTTTGAAGCAGATATTTCGTTCTTTATTTTAGAACATCCTCAGTGCTTAATTTTTTAAATAAAAAGCTTAACTTAAGGTTTATGAAAATTAAAATTAAAACAATATATACGTAAATTAACATATATATAATGACACTATTGAAAGCACAAATGTTAAATAAAACTATAATTATTTTTATTTTTAACATCACATATGTTGGAGAACTGACAAAAATAAACATAGAAGCAAAATACGAATAATGGAAATATATAATCTATTTTGTTATGTCAAAAAGAGTTTTAGTACAACTTATATAGTTGTCTTTGTTTTATAAATTCAAAAAATATAATATACATTATTATTATTTCTCTTAAAACCTATCTGAATCAATATCAACCGGTTAAATTATTTTGTTTCTTCTTTTTGTTTTCTTTTAACCGATATTTGTCAAGTAGATTTGAATAAAGAGTACTGAAATTCTCTGTGTCTTTTTCAAACTAAATAGGGCTGTTTTTTTAAGTTAAGCTTTTTATTAAAAAAATTAAGCACTGAGGATGTTCTAAAATAAAGAACGAAATATCTGCTTCAAAATTTTAAAATAAAAGCGTTTTATAGTGGTTTATCTGATAGCTGAAAAATTTTTAATTTAAAAATTAATAAGATACCAGAGATCATATAAAATAAAAAAATCGTATTATACAATGTACCATATTTTTGTGTTACCAATTGTTAGTTATTTTCCACAAAACAAACTGATCTGCGTGGTATACCAACTCTATTTTGAATCTATTTTTTAGCTAAATAATTATATTAAAAATTTGTATATGTGACATTTTCCACAATCAACCTCTTCTGGACTCACTTTTTCTTTATATCATCCGTACAGTTTCACAGTGTTATGGTATTCAGACTGTTACTGCATAATTTCCAAATGATTGAAATTATTCAAAATATTCGACGTCATCAAGGAACCAATTGGGTGTGAGTTATCAATTAAATGGTCGCATGAGAGTGCACAACACATGCAATAAAGTACTTTTGATTCTGCTGGTAGAGAATTCACCACAAAGTTTCCATGCGATGTAATCAATCGTAGACTTAAAATTGATCTGAACATGATTTTTATATTTCTGGTTGATGGATATCGCTATTCTGTCTGGAATTAAGAATTGAGTAAGTTAGGTTATGTGAATCAAACTTACACATTCATTACTTCTTTAGATGATAAATTACGCATAGTTAAGCTAAAGTTCGAAATTATTTAAATAAAATACTACATTTAAACAAGTCTTGAATACCCCTAATAAGGAAATTCTTTTAAAGCTTATTTTAAAACTTTTATGTCATTATATAAAGAATTCATTGAAAGTCTTTTTGAAATACTTGAATTAATTTTTAAAAAAAGACAGATTTTAAAATAAGATCTGTTTCGAACAACAAATTCGAAAGCTTTCGAAAATATTCAAAAAAGCTGCAAATGTGATCACCGGCAGAGACCGTATGGCTCTTTGCTTAAAGCTCTTTGGAAAAGCTTTGAAATGCACACGAAAAAGCTGCACATGCCATGTCTGATGCATTATCGGAATTTTCTTGTTGACATTGGAGATGGCAAGCTCTGCAGAATATGATAACAGACTCGAGGACAAATCGGTCATGAAGATGGGACTAAATAATGGACATAATATACCGGCAATTGGTCTCGGTACTTGGCGTGTAAGTTAAAAAGTTACAAATCATTTAAGAAATAAGTAATAAATAGTGAAATTAAAATGTGAAAAGTGCCTTGTACAAAAAAAAGAAAATAAAAAATAAATTTCACGGTCATACAACAACAACAACGAACGCCGAAGCTTATGATATTGAACTACAAAGACTGCAATATTGCGGTTTTTGTTGTAAAATAAAAAATATTAAAGAATGGTCCTGCTATTTTCTAGAAAAACAAGTTGCAATATATGAAAATTTTAATTAATTGAATAAATTGTTTAACAGAGTACACCAGAAGTTGTATCTCAAGCAGTTAAGGATGCAATAGACCTTGGTTATCGTCATATTGATTGTGCATTTAGTTATGGAAATGAATCTGAAATCGGTTTGGCGATACAAGAGAAAATAGCTGAAGGCATCTTAAAGCGGTTTGTAAGATTATTATTAACAAATATTTAATTATTCAATAGTTTCATAATAACTAAATTACAGGGAGGATTTGTTTGTAACAAGTAAGTTATGGTGTACCTATCACCGCCCGGATATTGTAAGAGTTGCTTGCGACATATCTTTAAAAAGGTTGAAACTGAAATATTTGGACTGTTATCTTATGCATTGGCCATTAGCTTTTGCGGAAAGTGAGGATATAATTCCAATGGATGAAAACAAGAAAGTATTATTCGCTGATTATAGTTTTATTAGTACTTGGAATGCCATGGAAGAATTGGTAAACGAAGGTTTATGTCGCACAATTGGTGTTTCAAATTTTAATAAGCGTCAGCTAGAAGAATTACTTAACGCTGCCCGTATACCACCAGCAGTTCTACAATTGGAATGTCATCCATATTTGAATCAAAAGCGTTTAATCGATTTCGCACGTAAACACAATTTAACTGTAGTTGCTTACAGTCCATTGGGTTCATCACACACACCCTATGAGAAGCCTGGTAAATATAAACTGTTGGAACATCCTATAATTTTAGAAATGGCTAAAAAACATAAACGAAATCCTGGGCAAATATTATTGCGTTACCAAATGGATTGCGGAAATGCTGTTATACCACGTTCGGTAACTAAGTCACACATGAAGGATAATTTAGATATACACAATTTCAAATTAACCAAAGAGGATTTATTAGAAATCGATCAGTTAGATATAAATGGACGTATTATGGACTTTAAGATGTAAGTTTTTAATTATTTTTATGGGTGAACTCTAGGTTTAACAAACATCTGAATACAAGCAATAGTTACTGATGTGCTTCGTATTAACTTAAAAGATAGATTATGAATATATTTCTAAAAATAATACAGAGGTTTTTTCGAACAGTAGTGAACTACAACAACAATTTTTTTTTCATTTTTTTATATTATTTCAATTAATTGAATTTTTGGCTGACCATACAGCTATTTCGAGTAAAATAATACATAAATACTTCATTAATATATTTTTTATATTAAAAATAAAAAATGTTTTTAACATTAATAACAATTTTGCTGATAATAATTGATTAAATTAGCATTTTAAAATATATTGTTGTTGTCCTACATATTTATTTTGTTAAAAATTAAACATTTGGTTTGGAAAAAGGGACTTCCCCTAACACCAAAATGGATTCATACTTAAAACAAAAATTCGACTTATAGAATGCACTTTTCCATATTCTTATTAGCACGTGACAATATTTCTATTCAAGTTATAAAAGTTCGAGTTATGGAATCAGAATTGTATGTAGTTTGCTCTCTAAAACCCTGTTGCACTCTTTTTAGTTCGAGTTATAGAAAATTCAAGTTATAGAAGTTCGAGTTATGGAAGTTTGATTGTATTTATTTTTAGTCGATATGGACTAATATTCCATTGTGAACTAACAATCTATAATAATATTATTTCTATAGATTCGTTTAAATTATGTCTTAACAATATTTAAAACACAAACACCACACGATTGCGCTTACGATTCTACTGTCAGTCCCTAGGTAATCCATATAATATACACTTAGCAGAAAAACTCTGCGTACAGAAAGTAAATTTTGTTTCAACAACAAAAAAATTATTAAATAAATAGATTTTTTAAATCAGTTTTATTTTTTATTTGTACTTTAATTCGTTATCTTCATTTTAAGCTAAAACTTATTTCTAACAGATTAGTAGAAAAATTATAATAATTAAAAATATTAAAAATCAGCGCTATCGGTGGCAGAAAAAGTCTGCGTACAAGAGTTTAAAAAGCGTCGAAATATATTATTTTTTTAAAGATTTTACGTTTTTAGTAACTTGTTGGATAACCTTTTCTTTTTATGACCTCCATAAGTCGTTTTGGTATCGAATTGACCAATTTCGCAGTCTCATCGTTGCTTATTTTGTCCCATTCCGCGTCTCTCATGTTCTTCAGCATTTCTTTGGAGGTTATATTGTATTCACGTACCCAACGCTCCAATAAATGCTACAAATTTTCTATAGAATTCAAATATGGCGATTATGGTGACGTTTTGATTTGCTTGGGGACATTTTAAAGCAACCAAAGCTTTACAACTTCTGCAGTGTGCTTTGGGTCGATAACTTGTTAAAGTAAGTAATTATTCTGTAACCCCAACTTCTCGGCACTGCTCTTTAAATTGCGTTTTAAAACATTTAAATAATCAACTTTATTCGTTATCGACTCAATAAATTTCATTTTTCCCGCTCCATTACTCGCCATACACCCCCGCACTATTACTCCTCCACTACCGTGTTTTATTGTTGGATGCAAATCTTCATTATTAAAGGCAATACCCGGGTTTCGCCATATAATCGTTCGACCTTTAATGCTAAAGAGACAAAATATACTTTCGTCTGAAAAAATTATGGGTTTTCAAAATTCTGGAGACTTTTTTAAATACTCCCTTGCGAATGCTAAACGCTTCATTCTAATAGTTTTGGAGATAAGCGGCTTGCTTCGTGCAAACTAGCCATGGTAGTGGTATTTTTTTAATATTTTGTGTACAGTATCCACGTGAATTTACTTCTGGAATGTCTGGTCAATATATTTATATAACAGAAGTCCAGTTAGACGAGGTTTATCTTTCACTGAATTAATAATGCTGTGGGTTTCTCTTCTTGACAGCTTGGATGGACGCCTAAATCGCAACCTCGAGGTCAATAATATTGTTTAGCTGTAGTTGTTTACTACTCTTTAGATAGAAGAATGTGACCGCTTAACGATTTGACCAACTTCACGATACATTTTCCTTTTTTTCCATAGATCAATAATAATACTGCTCTTACTAATAATAATTTTTTCCCTTTATTTGTCATTATAAATTTAATTACTTTTTAATCATTTAATTATAAAATAAGTGCTTGGGATTGTGTATAATGACATACCGGTTCAATAAAATATAAAGGACGCCAAAGTTCTACTTTTAAAACTTCGGGAATTCCCCTTTATATGTTTTGTACGCAGACTTTTTCTGCCACCGATAGCGCTGATTTTTTACATTTTTAATTATTATAGTTTTTCTACTTATCTGTTAGAAATAAGTTTTAGCTTAAAATGAAGATAACGCATTAAAGTAAAAATAAAAAATAATTTTGATTTAAAAAATCTATTTATTTAATAATTTTTTTATTGTTGAAACAAACTTTACTTTCTGTACGCAGAGTTTTTCTGCTAAGTGTATATTGCTGCCATGTCAACGTATTTGTATTAAATTTTTAATAAATAAACAATAATTCATCTTTTTAAATGTTATCAATCAATAGATTTTAACAATTTCGTATATGTCTTATCTTTTAGGGCCGCTGGACATCCGGATCATCCGTTTGAGAACGATGAATTTTAATTTACAACAACAATTTGGACTTGTGTAATTGTAATTTTTTTAAATCAAGTTTTTTTTGATTTTATTGTATAAAATTTTACAATAAATTTCTGAATAAATATATATAATTATAAATGGCTAAATAACTAAATAAAATTTTGGATTAGAAAATTGCAGTTTCAAAATTTTCGGTTTGGCACAATCAATAAAATGTTGGAAAATTTTTCGGAGTAAATAAATCAAAATTCCACAAAATTAAATCCATAAAAAGTTCTAAAAATGTTTCGGTTTAAGTTAAAAGTAGTCAATATTTTATTCAATCATTATGTTAAAAATAAGAAAGTGTCAAATTATTTAAATAATAATTTTAAAACAATAACGTAAGTTAATCAAATATAAAATTTACAATACTCGTTAAATAAACTAATAATATATATATATACTCGTAATGTTGTTTATTATATTTAGAAACACTTTGTATGTTCGTGTATAATTTTGTATATTTCTAAAATTTCAAAATAAAATATATATATAAATATATATATATTTCTTAAATTGATAAATATTTTTTGAATTAAAACACAATGAAGAGATGTTGGGGTTTTAGCCCATCGCTGTTTTTTAGTAATATTTTTAATTTAAAATTAGACCAAATCATATATTATATATACTGTTTCAAAACATCTAGTGAATAAAGCGCCACTTTTACGTAAATCGAATACAACTCTCACTGTAATGATGGATTTATTACAACTTCATTCAATAACGGTCAGGTTTTATTTTGGTCGCATATGTTCATGTACCTGTACGTGTTGTCTTTTTTAAGTTAGTGCATCTGGACACTTTTACTCTTTGATAGTTGGGGTTTTCTGCAGAGTCTCTCCTGAAGAATCCTTCTTACTGACTAATTTATGTATCCCTCAAAAGCTTCGTGATAATTCGATGACTAATCTAAGATCTGCGTACCGTCCCTTACGGCTAGAGATTATTCTGAGATTAGATAGTGTTAAGTATGGTAGCCAGTTGGTTTTCGCGAATAACTTCAAGGCTCTGATTTTGAGCAACTTGCTTTTGAATAGAAGAGTTGGCAGCTTTGCTATACGCGACACACCCATAGCGTAGTCTGGCTGTAGATCAGCTAAGGTTATTGTGTTTGAAAAGTGGTTGTAGGCAGTGCATTGTTGTTGCGCAACTACTTCTTTTGACTTGTATGTGCTTGTGTCAAGTGAACCGCCTATCAAACGTGATTCCCAGGTATTTGATGCTGTCCTCCCAATTAATCGCAATGTCATTAACTCTCACTCTCGGTGGATGCTGCCTGTGTTTACGAGTTACAAACAGGGCTTAATTTTTGTGTGCAAAATGGCTTATTTAGTTATGTATGCTATTTCCGGTTAAAAAGTTGTAGAAAAATATATTCAATTTTTGTACTAACAATTGCGCAAATTTTTTTTTTGTGCGGAGAGAAGGTTTAAAAATGTTTAACGCATCGTGATCATGTCATAATATTAGTGGTATGTGCGGTTTGCACAGACTAAAATCAATCTTCCTCATGTGCCAGACCGTTTGTATCCTGGGACTTTATCGGGAATACTTTAGGATAGGGTCCCCGTGTTGGTTATCCATTAAAAAATTTTGTATTTCTTCGTTAGCTTGTGTATAGGCGTCGCTTAGGTTTATTTGTTTCTTTTTTTTAAATTAGCCATTTTCTAGATCATATTTTTTCCATTTGAGTGTGATCGTAATGAATCGGTCTATGGCGGCTCAATTTTCTTCAGTTAGCATCATCTTCGTAGTGATACCTTCGACTTTCATTTCACCGACTATTGTTTCAAGTGATGTTCTTTCGGTGGTCCATCTGTTGCATTTGAAGATGGTGTGTTCAACATTGTCTTCGACTGCATCTTCGTTTATGAAATATAAAAGGTATTTCTGAAAACATCCATGACCAGAAAGGAATTAAGTTAGGCAATAGTTTATTTCGCCAGCTTTCCTGTCCGACCAATTCGCTACATTTGGGATTAATTTTGTTATCCATCTTTCTGCATTCTATTTTTGTTGTCAAAGTTGTTGGACCTATCGTTTTTTTTTCTAGATCTGTAACGTTGTGTTTTGCTGCTGCTTAATTTGCCACCTTATTTTCTTTTCTTTGGCTGCTAGAACTATAGGTAATGTGCAACTGAAGACCAGCACAGTTATACCGTCAGTTGTTGTTGTTGCATTCGCAAGAATAAAATGCTGTATATTTTTGAGTCCCTAAATGTTTATATCTGATAAAACTGCATGTTTTATCGTGAAAATAAGAAAACCAGTGACTGAATATTGTATATAAATATTCATATCCCCATTATTTCACTTAAATTTTTATTAATTATTATAATTTCTTTATTCATAACAATTTTAAATAAAATTTAAAAATTCGATTTCACAAAACTAAGTTTTTATTCTAAATGAATTTTGCTCGAAATAAATTTCATAACTGTAAAATTGAATCATCACACACATTGCATTGGGAATTATATAGTCGTCAATTAGATTAAAGCTTAAATCAGTGGGAGTGTTCATAAGTTTTATATGAATCTTCTTATTTGATCCTCGGCAGAGTGTTTTATTTTATTCATACCTTATCAATATCTATAATCATAATCGGACTAAAAAAGCTAATTTGTACTGGATAAAGGAAATGAATCCAATGATGGTATAGGTACTGATCAGTAAGTATTAGTTATGGTTTGATGATCAAAACTTAATCTGAGAGCAAAGCCTGATAAGAGTCTGATTTTTAATCAAATTTGTGAACACATTGCGGATTGAATCCTGAATAAATTTTCAGTAGGGAAAGTGGATAGAAACACTTTTAAAACTTAAGTTTCTTTTAATCGTGTTATTTTTAGAGTATCAAAACTATTTTTAAGGCTCGCGTAGATGGAATAAGTGTTTCTTGAAGATTTAATTTTTAACCTGACAACACTTACTAGCCCATAAATTAACCCTGCTTAACTGAACTCAAATACATTTATATTTGATTATATATATATACCTTCTTGTAAAATCAAGTTAAAACTAATATACTTTGTTTGTTTCTTTGTATGCTAGGCCCGGTAAAAATACAATCTTAAATCCGGAACTAAAACTGAACGAGGAAGCAACAAGTAGTTTGGAGGATTGTGTGGAACAAAATGTGAGTTAAAGAATTGAGTTTCTACTTTAATTCTACTTTAAATATCTATAGTATCTTTTTAAATAAATGTTGCATCAGATTGTATGTTGCATTCAATCTGATTTTAAATAATTTCTTTTAAATAAAATTATCACATGGTACTTTGAAGTTGACTATAGAATATATAGTTGAAATTAGGTTAAATAAAAATTTTGTATTATTTAATTATTTAATTATGAAAAGTGTATTATTTAATTATTGACCAATTAGCACGTTTTAAAAATAAAATTAAAAAATTAAAATTATCATATTAATAATAAATCTTCAAAAAAATCATATATTTAAGTAATGAAAGATATTGTATTCGCTTTGCTTAGTTTTTATAAATTTATATCTTAAATGTGTGATTGAGCCAAATCTAAAACAAATCTTTTAAAAGATTTGTTGACATAATATTATTCAATTTAATTTCAATTAAATAGGAGAACGCTGAAAAATTGAAATTGGAACAAATTCCCCCATCTGTGCGCAACTTAATATTAGAACTTAATCCACCATATCTCATTACGGATATATCCAATGTAATTAAGGCTATGATGACTACATATCCGATAGGAGTAGGAAATCTACTCATAATGCATAAGTTGAAATATGTGCTATATGAAAGGTTTCAGCCTCCAAAGACTTGAAATAATGTGAAATCGGACTTTGTGACTCTTCATATAGGTAAGTATGTACATGCCCATAAAATATAAATACATAAAATATTGTCTCTGTCATTTTTAAGCTGAACATTCTCATTAGATATTGAATTTTTTGCATGGTAAGTTTTAAATGAATTACTTTATTAATGTTAATTTTTCTTGCCGAAACTGATGCGTCTTATGACAATAAAAAACTATTTAAAAGTTAAAAGGGTTCGAATTGAAATAAAAGGACAAACAACAAAAATTTTAATTAATTTATTGAAATTTGGTTGTATAGTCCAACGCTGTTTCGAGTACTGCCAAGTATTCTTAATTTAGTTTATAATCCATATATAATTTGTTTGGACTTTATTTTTGTTATAATGTTCTATATTTCTATTAAAATTTGATATAAACACATGATTTTACATTTCAAAGATCGCAAGTAGCAATATATGTGTTGATGGACATATAAATGGATTTATTTAATATTAATAATAAATCTTCAAAAAAATCATATATTTAAGTAATGAAAGATATTGTATTCGCTTTGCTTAGTTTTTATAAATTTATATCTTAAATGTGTGATTGAGCCAAATCTAAAACAAATCTTTTAAAAGATTTGTTGACATAATATTATTCAATTTAATTTCAATTAAATAGGAGAACGCTGAAAAATTGAAATTGGAACAAATTCCCCCATCTGTGCGCAACTTAATATTAGAACTTAATCCACCATATCTCATTACGGATATATCCAATGTAATTAAGGCTATGATGACTACATATCCGATAGGAGTAGGAAATCTACTCATAATGCATAAGTTGAAATATGTGCTATATGAAAGGTTTCAGCCTCCAAAGACTTGAAATAATGTGAAATCGGACTTTGTGACTCTTCATATAGGTAAGTATGTACATGCCCATAAAATATAAATACATAAAATATTGTCTCTGTCATTTTTAAGCTGAACATTCTCATTAGATATTGAATTTTTTGCATGGTAAGTTTTAAATGAATTACTTTATTAATGTTAATTTTTCTTGCCGAAACTGATGCGTCTTATGACAATAAAAAACTATTTAAAAGTTAAAAGGGTTCGAATTGAAATAAAAGGACAAACAACAAAAATTTTAATTAATTTATTGAAATTTGGTTGTATAGTCCAACGCTGTTTCGAGTACTGCCAAGTATTCTTAATTTAGTTTATAATCCATATATAATTTGTTTGGACTTTATTTTTGTTATAATGTTCTATATTTCTATTAAAATTTGATATAAACACATGATTTTACATTTCAAAGATCGCAAGTAGCAATATATGTGTTGATGGACTCATTGTTAAGTATAAACACAAACAGAAAAATCTATGTTTTTGGTGTCTTTTGGCGGAGATGCCTTTATTTTTATTTGGGAGAGTGGAATAAAGCATCGTTGGTTTTATTATTATTATTAGTTATTACTTTTTTATATATAAATATACATCACTTAAACTGATTCTGGCTTGCTTGTAATAAGAAAATAAATGATAAGTAAAGGCTTAAAGATTTAATCCATATTTAAATGGTATTCCATAAAGTATTATCTTGATAAGTGTTCATAATATGGACGCTGTATGACTGTTTCTTCAGTTTTTATAACATTTTTTTATTTACTGGCTAAAGACACAGTTATTAAATGATTTTAGGACATTTTCTCTTTATTTTCTTATTCATTCAAAAGAACGTTAACGATTATATATAAAATATTTCCAAAAGATTTATAATTTAAAACAATTAACTTTTTTATACATTACTTGAAATTTGATTTGTTATCCTTAGTAAATTAATTAGGGGTTATTGGAAATGTAGTCCATTTCTGAAAATATGTACTGCAAAGTTTCGGTTAGAGAATAATATAAAGCAATACGGTAATCTAAACTTTGTGGGCTCTATTTTCAGATATTGATGATTTTTTTGTATGTATCTTCTATCAGAACTTTTTTACTGAAATTTTAACTATATCAAATTTGTCGGATACCTAATATATTGGGTAATTTGTTAATTCATTCACTACCTTTCTTTCAAATATTGGAGAAGTATTTTTTAAGGTTCAGTTGTCGGAACCAATATTGTTCAAACCTTTAATTTTTTTATTTAGTCCACATGACGTCTTTGTAATATGTGATTTATTAAACTTTATTCACTGTCAGTATATTAAATCATTAAATCGAGGCTATAATATATCATTTATTTTTTATTCATTTGATAGAGAATATTTTACAATATTTTTGACGTAATAATTTTAACAAATATATTAAAGAAATATTTATACTTTTGGTAGAAAAATTGTTCATACTTATAAAAACATATTTTTTAAAATTTTAATAAAAATGCAAGTTCTTTGAGGATTCGCAAAAAAAGCCATAAACTTAGGATGACTTCTGCATTTTGAAAAATATCATCTTATATTTTTTTTAATAACTTCAAAAATGTTACAAATTCCATGTCGAATTTTTTGTAATACTTCAAGGTGCTTGAGCTTCTCCTCCCGGTATGTATTTTTAGCAGCTTCAAGGTGAACATATACTTTTAAATAATTTAATATGTTTTCAATATATTTTGAATATATTCTTATTAGTATTTAGAACATAGTATTATGTTTATTTATATTTAAAAAGTTTTTTATATAAATGACATACTCAGAATAGAGGTAATTTGATTAAAACTCAGTATTTTTTATTTCTCTTTTATATATCTTATATATAAAATTAACATTGTCAAAATGTTAGTTACCGTACTCCTCCGAAACGGCTTTACCGATTTTTACCAAATTTTATATGCGTATTCAGTAGGTCTGGGAATCGGCTACTATCTATTTTTCATACCGCTAAAGTGATTAGGGTGTCCCTATCCAGCAAAAATATCTTTATTGCTTTAACAAAAAATTTTTTATTTTTTTGGCATAAATTTTGTTTATATTTTTGAAAAAGAAAAATTTTTTTCTTAATATTTTATGTAACTACGCCAACAAGTAGATCGAGCATTTACATCCATTTCGTTTCTTCGTCTTCGCCTTGCATGGCAGGTGGAAAATGTACTAAAAATTTTTCTAAAGATTTCACTAATGATACTATAACAAATACCGACGGATATCCAATATATCGTCGAAGAAATCCCGATAATGGGGGACAATGGCGGGTGGTGCCGTATTCGCCTCTGCTAAGCAAGACATACAATGCTCATATACATGTTGAGTTTTGCAGTTCTGTGAAGAGCATCAAATATATAAGTATGTCCATAAAGGCAGTGATATGGCTGTGTTTAGAGTAGAAAATACTAATGTAAGTGCTCCTCCAATTAACAAAAACGGTGAAATTACGCTCTACCAAATTGGTCGGTACATCAGCTCCAATGAAGCTGATGGCGTATCTTCGGTTTTCTAATTCATGAACGGGATCCAGCAGCTGTTCAGTTAGACGTCCATCTTGAAAACGGTCAGCGTGTTTTTTTCACGAACGAGACAGTGATTGATCGTGATACAAATCCACCTAAATCTACACTCACTGCATTTCTTGAATTGTGTAATAGTACGAATGATTTTGGTGCCTTTGCAAGAACATTACTCTATTCACAAGTACCACGCTATTTCACATGGGCTCAAACAAAAAAATGGATGCCCCGCAAGCAAGTTTCACCAGTTGATGCATGTCTCAATTTATTTAAATCGAACGCTTATTTACAGTTAATCCAAGACTCACTGAGTGATTTTATCTTCGACTTTTGTTAGTTAAAATAATAAAAATAATAAAATATATTAAAAATAATATTGTTTTGCGTTTTTTATTTTTCTTTTCGTTCATAGCGCTCCATGCCTATTTCATGCATATACCACATACTTACACACTTATAATAAGTAAGTTACTTTTTGTCTACACAAGAATTTATCTAGAAACTAGAAATAATTTATAAGGCAAAACAACGTTTGTCGGGTTATCTAGTATATATATATAAATAGTATATTTATTTATATATATTATAACAAAATATATATATATTATATTTATATCGAAATAATAGGTCATACAAGATATGAACTTATTTCTCCTCTTTTTGTATAGAGGGAGACTATGAAAATTTATTATGCATATCTCTAAGTTTAGAAGTAATTATTATATCTTCAATATTCTCGAAATTTACACCAAAGACGAACTATTAATAGTTGAGTTTGTCGTTGGTTTTTCGAATTTCGTCACTTAGTCAATGGAAGTTATTTTCTCTTACAAGAGAAAATCCCTTGTAAGTTCTACATCTTACTTTAACGTCTATTGCAAAGAATTTTGTAGGTGTGGTAATTTGCTCAAATGCACATTTTTCACACTGGTTTCTGTTGAACCCGTGCTTAACACATCCAGTTAAAGGCCTGTTTTGACAAACAAAAATCACGCTCTATAAGTCTCTTATAACAATAATAAATTTGAATAGTTTTAAAAATAAATTTTTTTTTCCAGTCCAACACTTCCGAAATCATGGAATAGGAAACCAAATAAATTTAAATTGGTTCTAAATAGTGGCTACGAAGTACCTATGATAGGTTTAGGAACATGGAATGTGACTATAATAAAAATATATTTATAATCCTAAACTTAACTTTCTTTTATTTTCATCACAGAGTTCACAGGCAGATGTTGTCGAAGCTGTGCGAATTGCATTACTTGTGGGGTATCGACATATCGACTGCGCTCACGTGTATAGGAATGAACATATTATCGGACCAGCCCTTAGCGCAGCACTAGATAACCAGTATTTAGATAGGTATTAAATGAAAGTCATATCTTTAATATACCCATTAAGAATCTATGTTGTATAATAGACAAGATATTTTTATAACAAGCAAACTATGGAACACATTTCATCGGCCAGATTTAGTGCGCCCCGCATGTAAGAAAACTTTAAAAGATCTGGAAACATCGTACTTAGATTTGTATTTAATGCATTCACCGATGGCTTTTAGGGAAGGTAGCAGTCTTTTTCCAAAAGATGCTCATGGAAAATTATTGTTTTCAACAGTTAGTTTTATTGATACTTGGAAAGAGATGGAAAAACTTGTTGAGGATGGGCTATGTAAATCAATTGGAGTAGCAAATTTTAATGAAGATCAGCTTAAAGTTCTTCTAGAAAATTGTAAAATACCACCAGCAGTGAATCAAATAGAATGTCATCCATTTTTAATACAAAAAAGCCTTATCGAGTTTTGTAAATCGAAAGGCATAGCAATAACTGCATATAGTCCTTTAGGTTCACCTAATAGTCACGGTTGGAAAGGAAAGAATCAACCAACTATAATAAGGGAATATGAGGTGAATATTTAATAAATGGTATAAAAACTATATATCTTTCTGGTAATATGGAAGCATATAACAAAAAGTAAATAACATTGTAGAATGTAGTTACTACTCATAACTACGCATTTTTGACATCATAATATATTTATTAATATATAAATCTTATTTTTAAAAAAATTTTAATTTATTAAATTCAAAAAATAATTAATACATGTAGGTGGACAAATTGTCATATGAGTTTGAGAAAACTTCAGCCCAAGTTCTTATCCGTTATCAACTTCAACGTGGAAATATCGTAATACCGAAATCAGTTAATAGCAGTCGCATTGCATCCAATTTTGATATTGAAGATTTTGAGTTATCAGAACAAAATATGTCATCTTTGGATAAATTGAACCGTGATTTTCGTTTCTTTACATTTTCTTAGTAAGAACCCTGTTTAATTTAGAAGTTTTGAAACTCGAAAATTTTATAATTTTTACTTTATTTTTTGACTTCCAAAACTTTTACAATAATTATCAAATATATACATTAGAGTGTTTCTTCTAAAATAAGAAATCGAAATCGCATATTCTCTAATTTTTTTGGACTTGATTCCAAATATTTGTATTTAAATTATTTTCTTTATCAAATTCTACCAGTTCAATAACCCCTTCCGACTTAGCACCAAAGCTCTGATAAAAATATTTGTACTGAGTACATAGCTTAGGGTATTATGATTTTTAAACTTTTTCGAATGTCTTCCTTTTCTTTTGTAACTAAATGCCATAAAATGCCTGTAGTTCATTTGGGAGGGATGGATAAATACTGAAGTGGCAATAGCTATCTTACCTTGATTATGGATTGCAAACAATAAACGGATTCTCTTACATCTAATTGTTATCTATTTGATACGCCACTAATTTCGGAGTCACTCTGATATGTCTGTTCTTATATTTTATTGAGGACCTGAGATTGTTTGTAATCTGAAAGAGTGATTAGATTAACACGTTATCTTTTTTTACGATTATTCGAATTTCATCAGCATATTGTCTCTAATTAACACAGCAGAGGGTAATATAACATAATGAATACTATTAGCTTAAGTCGGTACGTTTTTCCGAGATTTCTTTTTTTCTTTCAACATAAAAAGGAAAATTACAGAATATGCATAAGATCGAAAAGAGCGAAACCCTAATATACATATATACATATATATATATTATTATAAAACAAATAAAACAGTTTATAATTATTTTCTTTAATATTGCAGTGCGAAACATCATCCGGATTACCCATTTGTCAAATATAAGAAATCGAAAAGTACATTTGAGAAAATTAAGGATAAAGTCAGTAAAGAATAATATTTTAGGTATTTTGTAAATAATATTACAAATAAATGTAAAGTCAAATCAAATGCAAAAATTAAGTTTTTTTTTGTGATAAGTAAAACATTTTACAATATATTCTTCTTCTTAAATATAAATAAAATAATAATATATTACTGGCTAAGATATGTTCTCTGAAAAATAGATATATAAAAAAGTATTTCATATGAGTCAGCTTTAAACTGGTGTCTATTTTAGCCAGGATATGCTCAGTGCAGTGAGGATTTTAATAATAAAACGTCTTTGTGTGGAAACCTGATACTCTCTAAGCTAAAAAAAATGTTTTTGTTCCTCAGTTTTTACGAATCTGAGAAATAGGTATATATAAAAAATATTTCATATCAGTCAACGTTAAACTAGTGATTTTTTCTTACAAATAAGTTATGATGGGCACGTTTCCAGGGTTATTTGGAGCTAGGATAAGCTCAATCACATCCAACTCTGTGTAAAAATTGGTTTTGTCGTCTGAAACCCTGGTACTCTGTGGACTAAAAAAGACTTTTAAAATTACACATATATAATTTTTTCTTTATATATTAATTCTTTGTGGTTATATTATAATTTTTTACTTTTATTCAGTTGTTTATAATTTTAAAAAGAACATAATTCAGGCATATATTAAATATTTATAAAGTATATAAAGTATTTTTTTGTTAAGGTAATACGTAAATTTTTACAAGTTCAAGTTCAAGTTCAAGTTTGTGTCAATTAAATTTCAATAACGACAAAATTTTCCATTAATTTAGTTTCCTTTAGTCCTTGAGTTTACCTTAGTTACTTTGCGGTAATCACTAACGTCCTTCCGTCCCGTGTATTTCAGTTTATTGATTATTTTCGGAACCGCGAATAGGTGATATCATTGTTGGCCGCTAGCATTAATTTTTTAGTTGTGGGATGTGGTCCTTATTTTGGACGTGGCATTTTGGAAATTTTAGATATGGATGGGTAATATTTCTGTGATTGTTGATAACACTTTCGTTACTTGTTGGTAAGGTTAGTAATTAAAATGCTTTGAGTGTCTGTAGTTATTAGCGTTTCGTAAAATTTTTTGCTGTTTTGGACACAGTATTAATGACATTTTTCACTAGATTTTTAATAGTACAGTTTAGATTTTTGAATTTAAGGTTTGAAATTTTGAAGGATAATAATAACACTAGAAATATGATTAACAAAAATTTTTAATGGAGATAAAAGAGATTTTTAAATCATTTTTGTAAACTAAACTAGAAAAATGTTTATATATAAAATAGACATACTTACTGTACAGGAAAGTATATTGATAGATAGTGTTCGAATAACTGAAGATAAAACAGCACTATTATACTCAGATAGAAAAGGAAGTGAACATCATACCAGAGGGGTTTGGCAGAGTCGTGATGTTTAGCATTTGCAGGCAGCGAGTGTCACACATATGGTAATTATCAATGTATATGCTACTACAGAAGCACACATTGATAAATTTGAATTCTATGAAAAACAGTTACATTGATCAATATGTGAGAAAGAATATGTATATTTCTGAAGAGATATAAAATCAAAAAAGCGGACTGACGCGGTAGAGAAATACATTAAGGACAACCGATATTTTTACCTTGTCAACATATTTTGTCAGTATATTTTATATATAAATATATATATATTATATATATTAGATTAATCAGTTGTCTGTTTGTTAAAAAAACGTGGTGTGGATTACAAATCGCGTTTAGCAGATTTAGAACCAGTAGCGGAACCGCTCGAAAAGTCGATAATAATGAACTATTCATGCGGCCTCACCTTTAGAACTTTGTAAACAATCTTCGTACCGGGTATGACACACTACATAATCAGGGTCTTGACTTATATCCAAATGAAATAATAAATTTAAACAATTTAACATCTTTAATATTTTAAAATACAAGAACTGTAAAAAGAAAACTTAATGAGTTAGACAAAATTGCAATCAGGCAACGTGCAATTGACTAGATTGGTAAGGCTGTCTAGAATAGCAATCGAATCAATATCAAGTTCAACCGACTCTTGCTAAAGTCTCTAAAATAGCAAGTAACACAACAACACTAGTCTCTTGCTTCCAGAAACTAGTTACAAAGTCTCTTTACAACTAGGACGCTATATAATTTAATGGTACCAAAGCGGAAAGAGGTCTGTTGTGAAGATCGTTGAAATTTCATAGAAAATTTTGATAATGTGGTCAGATGTGGCTATTTTTCATGAATTGATGCCAATATTTTTAAACAAATAATCCACATGGTATATTATAACAAGTCAGGTGCGGTGCTAATTTAATAAGTAATGCAATTTTATAATTATAAATATAATTTAAAATTTTGATTCCGTGTATACATTTTTATTTTTTTTCTTTTAAGTACAGTGGAGAATATTTTAGAATATTTTTGACATCAAAAATTTAAAAAAATATGTTAAGTATAAATTTTTTTTATTTAAATATTTTAGGAACTTTAGGTATAAAAAATTGTTTAAATAATTTATGAAGATTTTATCTCAAAATTTAAGTAAAAATGCAAATTCTTTAAGAAGTTGGAGAAATAAAAAATAAACTTAAGATGACTTTTGCATTCTGAAAAATATCATCTTATTTTTATTTTTTATTAATAATTTAAAAATATAAAATGTTGCGAAGCGTTAAACTAAGGATTTCTTACCGTATTTTTTATAATATTTTAAGAGGCTTGAGCTTCTGCTCCCGGTATGTATTTAAAAAATATTTAATTTATTTTAATCGAAATTTTGAAAAAATACTTTATGTTTACTCATATATATAAAAAATATTTCTTTATATATAAATGACATACTCATATTAGAGATAGTTTGATTAATTTTTTGTTTTATACATTTTCAGCTTAGTCGTTTTATGTCATACAAGATATGACCTTATTTTTCTTCCAATTGTATCCTCAGTCTATGTAAATTTATTTGTGTATATTTTGTAATTCACTTAGAAACAACTACCATATTTCCCTAACTGTTAAAATTTATACTAAATTTAAAGTATAAGGAATTTTATACTAACTAAGCAACTGACCAGTTAACTGACGAAGCCATGTCTGCTAAACATGCAACTGTGTTTTCCTCCTCTCTAATGAGAACCGTGACTTACTTTTCGAATATCTATTGGTTATTTTTAGGAACAAAACGTCCACGAAACCAAAACAAATATCGTATTTTATTTTGTAGGTATATTCTAATTTCTCTAATATTTATATTTAAATTGATTATTATATTATATAGAGTAATTGGAAGGTATAAATTGGTAGGGGTAAGTATAGCTCTTATATTTCTAGCTATATTCCTTCGGTACTATTTTCCAGTGGCTAGCCAACACAATGTCCGGGTATTGTCATTGCACAATATACTGAGGGCATGGCTTTGTAACCATGTTTTTGGCCACGAGGGCATGACAGTGACAAAGCTTCAGTTTGGTTGAGCAAAATGGTGGTTTGAGCACAAAATAAATATTTCAGAAATGTTCCGAATTTCTTGAGTTAATCAATCAAAGTTATTTCCCTTATAACGTTATAAGCTACACACTTTTATTGTTGACGTCTTGCGTATGGAACGATGGTCAAAATTAAATTAATCCGTGAAATATTGTCATTTGATGTTCAAAGCTTTTATACTTTACCAAGTATCGTTTCCATATTGTACTACATTTAAGACTTTCGATTTAAATGTAGTGTATACGTATATATCTTTGATTTTTCATAGCTGTTAACAGATCTGAAGAGATTTTTGGGTTTGAAGATCCGCTTGAATATATATTTTGTTACACTGTACTTTGTTGAGATTGTGGTGCTTAAATAAGCAAATTGGTTTAAATTGGGTTCAGAACTTTGGTTAATGGATATAGAAACTTCTTCACTGGATGCTTTTATTTTGATTGATGCAATTATTTGTGTTTTGCGATTTTTTAGCGTTTCTAAAAAACGTACACATCAATTGATACAATATCAATCCGTTTTTATTATACGAAAATATAGTTCGTAACTAACAGCATATGGAGCTCTATAAAAGGACGAAATCTAGGAGTTACCTTTAAAATGACTAATATTTTTATATTAATGTAGTTACAAAGTGGGAACATTTTTGTATTGCTATTGTTGTTGAGATATATTTTGTATATTGTTATTCATTTTTAACTGTCTATACACTGTTTCCAGTCAGCCCTTCTTGTATGGTAAGTTGATGTCACATGGTCCTGAAATGCGTCTTCGTTTATTTCATAGTCGTTTCATATTCGTTTATATCATATGTTACTTCTAGTAGTATATTTCAGGAATTTCTTGCAATGCTAATATCAGCATATATTTCTCTAACCTTAATACATGGATGTTCCAGCGGTGATGCTTTTCTAGAAGATTACCGTTGATCTGAAATTTACTTATCACATAAAGTGAAACTGTTTTATTATTGTCCATCATTGAAATTGCTAGATAACATATGATGTCGATAATTTATGTTCTTTGTAAATGATTTGTAATTCCGTTCAAATGTATTGGATGATTTCAATCTGATCGTGAGTATATTAAGCTCCGATTGAGTAGTGCTATTGATATTTGTTCTCTTGGAAAAAGAATTTTGGAGTACTTGTAATATTTTTCTTAATAATCGTTGCTTATATGAATGTACCATATATGTCACTTGCTTCATTAAATTTTAATCTTACTTACTTACTTAATCTTGAGATATTCTTGAAAATGGAACAAATTATTAAGAACAATTTAGAACTTTTATATTATTCTTGTAATATACTAAGAATTAAAATAATGACACTTTGGTTTTTCAAGGCAATTGCAATTATTAGCTAAATCAAAAGCTTTAGTATGATATTTATTATTATTATTGTAATAAAACTATTTAAAAGCCATATTATTATTAGCATTAATAGTACTGCCTAGAATTAAAAAGTATATTTTCTTTTCCAGTCCAACAATGCCGAAATCTTGCAATAGAAAACTAGACAAGAAGTTTAAGTTAGTTCTAAATAGTGGCTACGAAGTACCTATGTTAGGTTTGGGAACATGGAATGTGACTATAATACAAATATTTCTATAATCTTAATATCCAATAACTACACATTGTTTTTATGATAGAGTTCAGAGGCAGATGTTGGCGAAGCGGTGAGAATTGCATTACTTGTGGGGTATCGACATTTCGATTGTGCTCACGTGTACAGGAATGAACATATTATCGGACCAGCCCTTAGCGCAGCACTAGAAGAACAGTATTTAGATAGGTATTAAATGAAAGTCATATTTTTAATATACTTATTAAGAATGTATGTTGTATAATAGAGAACAACTGTTTATAACAAGCAAACTATGGAACACATTTCATCGGCCAGATTTAGTCTGCCCCGCTTGTTATAAGACGTTAACGGATCTGGATACATCATACTTGGATTTGTATTTAATGCATTGGCCGATGGCTTTTAGGGAAGGTGGCAGTCTTTTTCCGAGAGATGCTTGTAAAAGATTATTGTTTTCAAAAGTTAGTTTTATTGAAACTTGGAAAGAGATGGAACAACTTGTTAAGGATGGGCGATGTAGATCAATTGGAGTAGCGAATTTTAATGAAGATCAGCTTGAAGTTCTTTTAGAAAATTGTGAAATACCACCAGCAGTGAATCAAATAGAATGTCATCCATTTTTGACACAAAAAAGTCTTATGGAGTTTTGTAAATCGAAATGCATAGCAATAACTGCGTATTGTCCCTTAGGTTCACCTAATAACCCTGGTTGGAAAGGAAAGAAACAACCAATTATTATGGAAGAGAGTGAAGTAAGTATAATATTTAATAGATTGTATGAAGATTGGATTATACTTTTACCATATTCGCTGATAAGTTAAGTATTGAAGAATTTAGTTACTGTTAACTTATTTTATATGCAGCTGTAAACATATGAGTACATTTATTAAAACAACATATAGATGTTCTAATAAAAGAAGACTCAATTTTAATTTTTTTAAAAAGTTTGTATTTCATATTTTCAATTTGTACTTGTAGGTGGAGAGGTTGGCGTTTGAGTTTGAGAAAACTGCTGCACAAATTCTCATTCGCTATCAACTTCAACGTGGAAATATCGTTATACCGAAATCAGTTAATAAAGATCGCATTACATCCAATTTCGATATTGAAGATTTTGAGTTATCAAAAGAAAACATGTCCTCTTTGGACGAAATGAACCGAGATTTTCGCTTCATTACATTCTCTGAGTAAGAACAATAGTAGTTTTAAAAAGTTTTAAAATTCAAAATTCAATTATCAAAACTTTTAAACCATTATTAAATATATATATATATATATACATATATATATATATTTAAAATATATTTTTTTAATTTTTAAGTATTGTATTTATTGTAGTGCGAAACATCATCCGGATTATCCATTTGTGAAATCTAATAAATCGGAGTGTACTTGCGAATAAATATAAGACATTGTAAGTACAAGGCATTCAGTATATACAAGTATATTGTAAGTAAGAGAGATAGAAGATATTAGCTTAGATATATTAGCTAAGAGACACTAGTGTCACTTGAAGCCTTGCCTGGAGCTCTCGCTTCGTTATTTTTCATCGATTGTATAGGTTTTTCTATTTCATTCAGTTTTTAATTTTGGATATGTTAGTTAACATATAAGAGTTATAAAGAATTTGATTTGATCTTGAATTATATAAATATTTTTTTTTTGCAATAAATATATATTTTTCATGTAGATTTCCTTTTGTTTATGTCAAATATTGTCTTATCGTAGTCGTTAATAAAGAACAATACATATACTTTGCGCAGAATACCTGCGGTTTATTGCATTTAATTGCCAATATAAATAGTAGCGCATACAGAAACTCATTTAAAGAGTGTTTCAACCACAAAGATTTCTCTTGTATTCCCTACTAATGTTAATGATTTAGTTCATCCTTTTAATTATGCTGGATTCTTTATTAATTTTAGTATTTATTCTAGGAATCTCCTTTTCTGCGGAATTATTGTTTACTTGAGCAATTTCTATATAATTTCTGGCCATCACTTTTCAAGCTGTTTCAAGTTCCAGTTTTGAATTTTGAACTTGGTATTATTTGTTTGCATATTTTGGTTCAGTTTGTGGAGCTATGTCCCAGTCACGGATAAACTATGTAGTTTTTGCTTTCTTACTCATAAAGTGAGTTGTAGAAATTTGTTGGCTTATATTCTAGGCATTATATCCATAGCCTAGTAGTGATTTGAAATTATTTTGCAAATCTATTGTGTTCTGATGCATTAAGTACAGATGCTTTATTATATATAGTTATTTTTTTTTATAGAATTGAGGTATCTGTTTTGTCTCCGTTATTACTTTATGTGTTCAATCAAATATCCACACATGAGTTTTAATACTGAGAAGTCTGTTACTGTTTCCTTAAAAATTTTCATAAGATTATGCTAGATATTTCTTTTGAATTACTATACTTGTTGGTAGATATGAGACTATATGTAAGGATTATATGATTCAGTTTTATATAAAAAAATTTATCTTAAAACACAAATATAAATTAAAATATTTAATAAAGTATAATTTTTAAAAATTCTATAAAATAAAAATTTTGACTTAAGAAAGTTCAAAAAAATGTTAGATTTAAGTTTCCTAAATTAAACCTATATTTTTTAATATATTTCTTTGGAAGGGCTTAAATTAACTAAAATACGGTCAATTTCGAGACCGTAATGTGTAAAATTGACCTGTGATGCATTACTGAGTTGAATTCCACTGGAGTAGTAGATTTGGAATTAGGGCTTGAATATTCCACCATGTTTGCGAAAACTGTTAAGAGTTTAGTTAACTTCCGAGAACTTAAAGCGTTAAATAATTATATATATAATGTTTATCAGCGTAAAAATAAAGTGTCCCCAATCATCAAAATAGTGAGGTATTTATTATTTCTAAAAATTATTAAAAAATCTCTGTCAATTTTAATAATACTTGGACTACTTAGTTTTATATATTATATACTACTATTTGACTATATTGTTAAGTGAAAATAATACATTTAATATGTTGAAAAAATATGTAGCTCTACATCGGAAGAAATTGACGTAAAGCCCAAGTCCAAGTTAACAGTTCTTCTAAATAACGGTGAAGAAATTCCGATGTTGGGGTTGGGTACATGGAACGTTAGTATAATTACATAAATAGCTTAATATTATTTAAATAATAATGATAATTTTAGAGTCTGGACTATCAAGTTGGAGAAGCAGTGATGACAGCAATTGACGCCGGGTATCGTCATTTTGATTGCGCTCACGCTCATCACAACGAACAACAAATCGGATTAGCATTGCGTGCAATGTTTAGAAGAACTCAACTAAGCCGGTACTGAATAATTAACTACTTTTTGTTTAATAATTCCAAATTCCAAATTCTTTTTAAAATAGAAAAGACATTTTTATAACAAGCAAACTATGGAATACTTTTCATCGACCGAGTTTAGTGAGGTTAGCCTGCGAAACTTCTTTAAAAAATTTGCAAACAGATTATTTGGATTTGTATTTAATGCATTGGCCAATGGCTTTTAAGGAAGGAAATGATCTCATTCCTTTAGATTCTGAAGGCGAAATAATTTTTTCATATAATGATTTTGTTGATACATGGATGGCAATGGAGAAACTTGTAGAAGATGGTCTGTGCAAAGCTATTGGTCTATCCAATTTCAATGAAACGCAAATTGAACGTTTACTTAAAAATGCAAGTATATACCCAGCAGTTAACCAAATCGAGTGTCACCCTTATTTAACACAAAAAAAACTAAAAGAATTCTGTGAATCAAAAGATATAGCAGTGATTGCATATAGTCCATTAGGTTTGCCCCGAAATCCATTTTGCAATTCATGTAATAAACCTCTCATACAAAGAAAAGAGGTAAGCATTATTTGGTATATATTCAACTCTTCTTATACGCTTATTTACTTATATATTATAATTTCCTTCATAGATTACACAATTAGCTAAACTTCTTCATAAGACTCCAGCCCAAATTCTTATAAGATATCAGTTACAACGTGGCAATATAGTTATACCTAAATCGGTCACTAAGGCGCACATTAGGTCTAATATTTTAGTTAATGATTTTGAGCTGACTGAAGAAGCTATGAAGATGTTGAATAAGTTAAATATTAATTATCGTCATGTACATTTCAAAACGTAAGTATATAAATTTGTGTTGGTTCTATATATATTTATTTATATTTATTAACTTATTGTTTTTTAATTAAGTGCCAGAAAACATCCGGACTATCCCTTTAAATAAAATGCATTATAGCTAATGATATATCACAATCCTCGTGACGCCATCATAAGAAAATATTAACGCACTATGGAATATAATTTTTATTACGATATTAGATATACAAATTATTCAGTAACATAATAAAAAATAATTACAAAATAAATTATTAATTAGAAAAAAAATACATTACACTGTGCTCTTACTTTATTTCTCAACGGTTTTATATTAATTTTAGGCTGCTAAGTTCAAATCAACCCGTATTTTTCCCAGACATTTTTAGTTCTGACAATAATAGGTCAAATTTCAAAACGTCAAATTTTAAATAGTTGATAAAAAATTTTTAAACTAAGAGATACAAATATCATATCTCGACTAAACTTTCTATAAATACATACATCCCTCTTTTTCGATAGAATTTTCATATATTTCTTAAAACGGTTTATATTATATAGGATATACGGAACATCGGAAAAGTTCTTTCTATTGACAAAGAGAATTCGAGGAATAATTCTAAGGTGAAAGTGTTCATTCATTTATAGCAAGTTTCTTAAAAACACGAAATTCGTATCTTTCATTATAAGAGAAAATTTTTTTTGATAGCCATATTATACAGACAGTCATATATCTAAACGTTACGGTAGCTTTATGCTCTTTTTGGTCAGGATCAATGGTCATCTTATATAGAGATTATACCTTAACTATTATTTTGGTGCGTTTTTTTTTTGTATGTGGATATGTTTACAAATTTACACAAATATACACTATCTACTCTTAATAGGTGCAAATTCTGACATTTATTACTAAACAGTACTGTTTTGACTAACATGACGACGCACAGAAACCTGCATCTTGACCAAATTTTATTCAAAATTTCTTTTATTTTCTTATTTACAATTTTTTAATTTACGATGAAAATAATAAAAATTTTATAGTTCTAACACTGTAACATCACAAATTTTGAACCTTAACTCGCTATTGTCTGCGATCCAGATATCTATGAGGAAAATGATTTGATTTGAGCCCAGAAGTGTTACAAAATTAAAAAAGAAAAACTTTAGTTCTTTACCATAGTCCAGTGTTAATATTAAAAAAAGTTTTTTATAAATACTCCTACAGATAACTATAATCAAAACTATAGAAACAGAGTTTGATCTTGGTTTCATACAGTAGAAGGTTAAGTCTGAGTTCGGACAGTTTTATATGTATAAAATATACGAAACGATTTTAACGATGGAATGCTTGTAATATTGTTGTGTACTTAAATATTACTCAAACTTGGATTAATAAATTGTAATATTCATGTAATATATTTTAATATTATATTTCTTTGAGTCAAAGAAAATATAAGTTTCATTACAAATTTGAACATGAGTATTCTATTGACTTCCAAAATTACCGCCATCCTAAGTGTCGTAAATATTTTTGCTATTAAAAAATGATAAAATTTTGAAAGTTATTAAACTTTAACTCATCGGAGGTAGATAATTGCCAATAATTTTATGTTACTTTTGTTGGTTAGATCTGTTTTAGTTTATAAACTAAACTTAACACATTTTCATTGAACCACATTTAACTCATCTCTATATATTTAGTTTGATGACAGTTTTAATTATTTTATAGTACTGTCTTTGCTTAAACTGTGAAGTCATATATAAAAGTACATTTTTATATATATTTTGTTAAACATATACTATTGTATATATATATAGGTATGTAAACGTATTGTAATTGTATAAAGAACAGTTATATTAGATAATACAATTTTATAATTTAATGAGTTGTGGTTACATTATTTTATTATTTTAAAAAATTAATGATGCAAATAATTGAGAAAGTCTCTATTAAAATGTTCAATAATATTAATTAAAATAGTATTATTAATCACTATTATCAAATAATTGAGAAAGTCTCTATTGAATGCTTAATAATATATTAAGGCCGTTGCGATTTTTAGTAAATTAATGGTAAATTAAGGGAATTAGTAAATTATGTCGGTATGGCAGCTAATGTTGGTATTTACCAGAATTTCGAGTGGAGTAAATTAGATAAAAATTAGGTATATTGGTATTACCATTGTGAAAATTTTATGCAATGTTTAATATATATATAAATAAATTTGAAAACTTTTAACCAAAAATAATATATACATACAAAATTCCTAGGAAATTTCAATTTACTTTACTTCAATTTACTCGAACTCGCACACGGCCTAAATAAATATATATTATTTTCAAATACTATTATTACTACTTTTTTCTAATATTTCAAATACAATTTTATACGTACACAAAACCCATACAATTTTGACATTTGCACATAAAAGCTTTCTGACAGCTGTTTCGAAAAGTATATAAAAGCACCAAAAAGACTACGCCAATGTTTAGTTGCTTGGCAGCCGGTTCGTTTAGTTTTTTTTGCAGTTACTGTAAGAAAATAAATTGTAATTATTTTTGCAAGTAATTCATTTTAATTAATAGTGTTTTGAATTATACTAATTAAAGTGTTAAAAATGTCGGTACCAAACGTAACTTTAAACAATGGGAAAACCATGCCAGTTGTTGGTTTAGGCACCTGGGGTGTAAGTACATGTAACAATTGTAGTTTTTTGTTTTAAATTTAGAGCTTGTATTACATATTATAAAAGTTTTATATATTGTTTTGTAAAATAATATGAGAATAAATTAAATAAATTACTTGATTTTGTTTAAAATAAAAGAAAGATAAATGTTTTGGTACACCACTGATCGCGTGTCATGTTTACCGGTGTTGTTAAATGTGTGTGTATATATGTATGTATGTATATTCTATTAATATTATTTCAAGATAATTAAATATAATATACATACGTTTAAAACAAAACAGACATTTTTATTATATTACATACATATATACAGTGCGAGTATCGCATATTTCACTGGCTCGTAAACTATTCTTATGAGGCTTTAATAGAATAGCAAAATTGCACTTCTGGTTATATATATATAATTACATATATAATTGCTCACATAAAATAAATATGTTAATATATTAAATATATATATAAATAAACATATTTATATTAAAATGTATTATTACTAATATTGTAAACAACAGAAATTAGTTTTTTAAAACAAATTTAATATATTGTTTTGACCTTGAATTTTTTACATACATATGTATATATATATATGTAATTCGCAAGTGCAAGTCATCATGTTCTAAATTAATAAGTAAGTTTTAACAAGTCTCTATATAAAGTATTAAGATGTAGTTTCTGGTATATTTCTCCCGAATTTGGTCGGGTTTCTTAAGATCAGTTTTTTAAGCTCATAAGATATTTTTAATATTTTAAATTAAAAGTGCAGAAATGTATATCGTGAATTGACTTACCTTAAAAAGATCTTAAATTAACATTTTAATAGGCCTTTAGAGAATTTTTCATTGAAGAACACTAGTACTTTCGAATAAAAAATGTTTCGGTTCCAAGCACGGTTGGGTTAATGTGCCCTATCCATTTGTAGACTTCGATAAACAACTGCCACTCACCACATTCAAAAAGAACTACACATGTGGATCGTTGTGGGCTTCAATAATGACATCTAAATTAGCGATTTCCAAACTTTTTTTGATCAAGGACCACTATGATAATTTTATTTTTAGTAGTTCCCTAAAATTTAAGAATAATAAACTGTATGATTATTTTAATATGTTTTATGCATCTCTGGTAAGAGTATAATGAACTGTATAAGTGCATTGGTACATTATATATAGGCTATAAAATAGGTGTATAATTACTTGTAAATGTTTTGTACATATTTTTTTAATAAGTGAGGTCTTCGTGGACACACTACAAGCTATGCATCCATAAATTTGATTCCGGAACAATTTTTAACCATCTCATGAACCACCTGTATTCCGCGGACTACTGCTTGGGAACCACTCATCTAAATATATTACCTTAAAGCGTTTGTAGACTGTTGCGATTTTGGACCGACGTACATTTATACTAATTTATTATTCAGTTCAAAAATTTTATAATATTAATTACTATGTATTACAATATAATTACATATAAACACAAAATGTTTTCCACTATTTGACATGTTATTTATATGATCGATGACCTGATTTTAACCCCCACTTCCCTAACCAGCGCAGTTGAAGTACATATAATCAATCCATTAAATTTTAAATCACAAATAATTAATTAATATATTTAATTTTAATGATGAGAAAATATGTAGTACCACACAATTGTGTCTTCATTTTTAATAATAAACTATAATTATAAATTACAATATATTTGCTTAGAAACAAATTTTATTAGTTTTGGCTTTCAATTAAATTCCCATTAAAGTGATTTGTGATAATTATAATCACATATATTATACAGTATTGCAAAGCCATTATCGGATGAATTAAAGGAATTTGTTTTTTTTGAAGCGAAGACGTTATCATAGCTAGTATGTAAATATGTACATATATAATAATAAATAAAATAGTTTTTCATATGAAAGTTTTAAGATAAGCGAAATGTATAATAAAAAAGGAAATAGTCTAATAACAAGAGTATTATTTTGTTAATTAATATATATGCAAACAATTTAGCCTTTAGCCATGTAACAATATCTATGTCCGTAATTAATAAGACCATAATAGGTAATATTTCTAAAACAACTTAGATTTTGTAAAACTTATATTTAATATAATTATATAAAATTATATATAACTACGTAAATTATTAAAAATTAACATTACTATAATAATTTTGCTTTCTTTAACACCTAATAGAGTCCAAAAGGTGAGGTAACACAAGCCGTTAAAGATGCGATTGATATTGGATACCGTCACATTGACTGTGCACATGTCTACCAAAATGAGGAGGAAGTAGGCGAGGCTTTAAGCGTAAAAATTAAAGAAGGCGTTATTAAGCGGTATATTGAAAATATTTATTAAGTTCTTAACAAATTATACCAATGCAATATTTCTAGTGAGGATGTGTTTATTACCAGTAAACTCTGGAATACATTCCATCGCACTGATTTAGTTCGTCCCGCATGTGAAAAGACTTTGAAGAACTTGGGATTGCAATATTTGGATTTGTATTTGATTCATTGGCCAATGGCATACCAAGAAGATGGTGAACTTTTCCCATCTGATGCGGACGGTAAAACACTTTATTCTGAAGTTGATTATGTTGATACTTGGAAAGAAATGGAAAAACTTGTTGAGGCTGGTCTTTGCAAATCCATTGGCATATCCAATTTCAATAAAAGTCAAATTGAACGTGTTTTGCAAGCTGCTAAAATACCACCAGTAACTAATCAAATAGAATGCCATCCATATTTGAACCAAAAAAAACTTATGGAATATTGTAAATCCAAAAATATTGTTATTACTGCTTATAGTCCATTAGGCTCACCTAATCGTCCTTGGGCCAAGCCTGGTGACCCCGTTTTGTTGGATGATCCTAAGGTTTTACATATAATTTACTTTTATTATTTTATATGCTTATGTGGTTTCTTTAGATTATTGCCATTGCTACCAAATATGGGAAAACACCTGCACAAATTCTAATTCGCTGGCAAGTTGAACGTGGCAATATTCCCATTCCAAAGTCGGTTACTAAGAGTCGCATTGCATCTAATTTCGATGTATTCTCTTTTGAATTAACTAAAGATGATATTGACACCATTGATTCATTTGACTGCAATGGACGTTTTGTTCCAATTACCAGGTAAATATATAACTTTCTTATTAACAGTAATATATTTATAGTTTTGTTCAAAGTGGTGATAATTTTAATAGTCACTGTAGAACAATAATTTGCTTAAAGCGAATTTTTTTGTATAAGTATCCCTCCGTTTTATCTACAAGTGTTTAGTTGTCAAAGCATTTTTTTCTCCCTTCTTTGCATTTGTTATGCACTTTAAAAACGACTTATCAGTCAGTTTTTTTTACCTTGTAGACACTATTTACGTATTTCTCAATAATCTTTATATTATCAACGGAAAATTATGATTACGTTATTATAGACTTGTTATCTCATATTTTGTTCATTTTTGTTACAAATAATTTATGACATTTTTTATTTATTTGAGTCAAGATGTGCTAATATTTAACTGGATTTAAACATTTATTTATATATGTAAAATGTACTTAAATATTTATTTATACTCAGCTTATTCAATGTAGATTCATGCCATATATTATAAATATATTATAAATTATAAATGTATATAATAATAGAGAAGTTTCGAACAGTAGTAAGCTATAACAGCAAAAATTATTTTTATATTATTTTTATTAATTCAATTTCTGATACTTGCAGTCGCAATAAAATTATTTACGATTAATTAAATAGAAGAATTATTTCAAAAACCACTGATGATTGGTATTTGGCAATACTCGAAATAGCTGTATGGTCATCCACAAACTCAATTATTTAAAATAATATAAAAATTATTTTTGTTGTTGTTCACTATCTAAACTTCTCTATTAAATACCACAGTTTCTTTTAAAGTAAAAATATTCACTTCTGTCATATTGACGTTAAAATCAAAATTAATATATATAATATTTATATAAATATATTATAAATATTCAAAAATCATTTATTTGTATTGATTTTGTACGTGTATATTTATTCTAATAAAATAAGAATTAAATTTAGGTAAAATAAATAAATACAGAACTAATTTCGATAAATTAACTTATTTAACTAAATTGAATTAAAAATTGAGAGATTATTAGGTGTATACAGCAGTACGAATAAAGAGTAAAAGTGCAATTATTTACTCTTAATAGTGATCAGGTCATATCATATCCATAGGTCAATCTTCAGGTTACATAAATTGGAAAGAATATTTCTGATATCATAAGCGTACTCAACATCTATGTTGACTAGATTTTAGATATATTTGTGCATTTTTACTCTTAAATTTTTTCATTAAAAATTTAAAAATAATACACATTTGCCTTCGAACATAAAAATCATTCCAAAGTCTCTCCAATGTAGTCGGAGAGTTAGAATAAACCAGGGTTCAGAAAAACACTGTGCTGTGCACAAAAATGCAAAACACCACGCACAAATGTTGTGCGATTCTAAAATTTCACACCACAAATGTGGTGTGCGAAAATTTTTGTGCACATCTTAAGTGCACATCTTGTGTGCACAAACGAAACGCACATTTCACACGAGTGTGGTGGAGTGAAATAAAACTCGCACACGCATTCGTTGTTTGTGCCGAAGTTATTTCGCACAGCACATTGTGTGTGCGGCAGCCAACTTGCCCTCGCACACAACGTGTGCAGAAAAGAATACGAGAAGCACATTTTGTGTGCAGGCTCGAAAATAAAAATGCACCCAAATGTGCGGAGACGAAATGTCTACTGCACGTTTGTGTAAAATTATGATTTAAAAGCGCACAATATTATGACAAATATCGCAGCAAAATAGTACGGAAAACTGATTTGTATTAATTTTGGTCTTAATGCGAAATATTTTATTGAAGAAATAATTTTGTATTTATATTTTAATTTTGAATTTATTATTAGATTTACATTTATTGCTTATATTACTTATTTTTTTAAGGTTTATTAATTTAAAATATGGGAATAAAGTTAATTTCACAATGTACTTGAAAACTTTGTTATATTCAATAGGTACATGAATTTAATAGAGAAAGAGTATTTGTTTCGAAATGTTATAAGTAAAGAGGATCGGTTCTACGGATCGTACTTTGAAAAAATTAAATATATCAATTTTGGACTACTTCATAAAATTTTATTTAATAGTAAGTTGTACACTAAGATTCGTTAGTAAGGTTATAAAAAGCAAATTAAATATTTTTTACAACAACATGAATTAATTTTTTTATTAGATTTCAATTAATTTTTTATCTTTAATTACAGCTTAAATTTAACAAAGTTATTGAAATAATTTTATAATTTAATATCTTAATTTCTTATTATAAAATATATAATTTTTATTACATATTTTTTGAAATAAATTTTCATTTAATCTTATTAATAACATTGCTGAAATATTTTTTTCACTTAAATTATATCTCTGCTTACTTATCACAGTAGAAAGGGCGCTAAAATCCTGCTACCTGTTCAAGAAAATATTTTCTTAATCTTTCGCGTTTTTTAATGAATGTTAGATACTCTACCTATGTGAATACATATTTCTGGAGAAGAAAAATATCTATTTGTGGCCCTCCCGTATTATCTTTTTTAAACTGTTGCAAAATTTATTAAACAAATACACCAATACCAATACCTGCTACCTGTTCAAAAAAAATATTTTCCTAATCTTTCATATTTTTTGGGCATAAAAAAATCTTCCTAAAATATGTTTTTATTTTTTTTAAACTGGTGCAAAACTTTCCAAACAAATACTTTAAGTTCACTTACTATATTTGCATTTAAAAATGCACAAAGTAATATACAAAAAACTAATATTTTAAGTTAAAATATAAATAAGGTTAAGACAGTTATAATTTTTAGTTTACATTAATTAACAAAAATAATTATTTTAAATATTTGTTAATTTATGCAATTTTTAATATAAGTTACAGTCCCAAAGAACGCAAATATCAATTTTTTCAAAATTTGCAACAATATAATATTTTCTATTTCAAACAAAATTGTGAAGTTCCTGTAATTTTTTTCCACCCTTGGGTGCAAGCGCAAAATCGTACATTTGTGCACGTTTGTGCAACCGCACATTTGTGCACATTTGTGCACGTTTGTGCAGTCGCACATTTGTGCACATTTGTGCAAACGTAATATGAGCAGCACACTCGTGTGCAAAGAGAATTTTTTGTCGCACAGTGCGGTGCGAGCATAAAATTTTCTCGCACATCTGATTGTGCACATTTTTAAAAATCAGTCACACAGCACAAATGTGTGTGCACGAATCTGTGTGCACAATCATCGCTTTGTGCGATGTGAAATTTAAAATCGCACAACAAATTTGAGTGCGTGCATTTTTTTTCTTAACACCACAAATGTGCGTGTGCATATTTTAAAAATAATTTCCACTCGCACAGTGCAGTGTGCGATTTTGTGCACCACATTCCGAACTCTGGAATAAACTGATTCTCGAAGCAAAAGCGCTTCCTTATGCAGTACTAACTTGTAGTTCCCCATTTTTGTTTTTTATCCAAAACAGAACATTGCAATATTATTTTTAATGTTAAATATTTTTATACAAAGGCAAATTTTTAAAACATGTATGCGTTTTTTTTATATATATAAACTATATATAAATCAATAGTTAGTATTAGTAAACTTTTTGTTAAAAATGAACTATTGAAAATAGGAATTGTTTAATTAATTGCAATTATTGATTAGCAGTATAATTATTTGTGTAAATAGTATATCAACAAGAAAATAATTATACTTCTTAAAAAGCGCTTTTCCAAATGAAATTACTTAAATAATTATTATCTATGAATATTTTTATACACTTTTTACTATAGTAAATGAGGGTTTTTTTGTTTATTATGATATTTGTAAAGTATGGACTCATGCCCGCCTATGAGTTTGTTGATCATTTAGTTAATAACTGATTGAGCAAATGAAACTTTGCAAATGGGATCTATTTAAATTCGGAGAGGTGAAGCTTAAAAAATATAACGTAATTTGATGTCAACTTTTAATGTCAAATTTTTTTTGTTGATTTTAATATTTTTGATTTACTGCTTGCAAATAACCAATTAAATCATTGTATATAATTAAGTTTTCAGAAAGAAAATCATTAATATTTTAATATATAGTTTCTTCATAATGAATAGCTTAATTTTTATACTAATAGAAATCAGAAAAATTTAGCTTTTCACTTTTCTACTTAATTCTAAAACTTATTTGTAAATGTGAAACATTCAAGTTTAATCAAATTCAATTTAAATCGATTCAAATTTAATTTTGAAAAATAATTTGTGAAAATTATTTTATTTTTTCTAGCAACTAGTAATTATATATACTTTTTTGTTTAGTTATGTCAGGTTTGGTGTAAATCTGGTGTAATTTTTTCAATCGAAATTCACTTTTAGTGCAATTTTTAATTCAATTTTAGTAAATCTCGAGTGAAATGTTTACACACGAGATTAATTTATAATACTCTATATATTTAGCCAAAGTAGCAAGATTGACCTGAATCTGAAGCTGTTTTGTATGACTTGACAAATAAAGTGACTTTACTACAACAACAAAAATGTTAGATTAGCCTAAAAATGTTCAATTGGGCAACAAAATTCGACAAATCAAAAGTAAATCTAGATTGAATCCAGATTTACTAATCATAAACACAATTAGTTTACATTGGTCACCTTAAAATATTCGATAAGTCTGTTGTGAGTTAAACTATTTTAAACTATTTGTATTATCTTTAATACTAGTGATTACCTAATTTTGTAGTAAATGATTGAGGTACAGTGTTAAGAAAACTTTAAAATAAAGCTTCTCATATCTGTTATTTTCAGTTTAGCATTTATTTCATTTGTATTATATATTGAAGTAGATTCTGCTCAATACTCGTAAAGAATTTCTAAATTGAAATTTAAACAACATGTGCTTGGTTTATCTCAAAAATATTGTTCATATATTGGAACCGTAATGTTAATTATGCTGAATCTTTTTTCCATACCTTCAATTATTTCTATTAACATAATAGAAATATCATTCCATATGTCAGATGGCTTATCCTATTTGTCAAACTTAAATAATTAATTTTTGCTATTATTGAAACTCGGATAGTTCTAACATGCATTGGAAAGTGTTCATTCAAGGTAATATAGATATGACAATATTTATTCCAATTTTCGAAACGTGTAAGTTTTTTGAATTTTTGGTGTAGCTTTATTTTCTATAAATTAGAAATTGATGACAGTAGAGATCAAGTCTATGTGCCGAAGTCAATTGACTATGACAAATGAGTACTGTTTATTACTCTAATTAGAGCTTTATTATTCAAAAGCATATTAAGTATGTAGCTGTTTCCAAACACCGTGAGGCGATACATTCAAATACAAGATGTAGAGAGCTTTGTTTCAAATGCTTCTATATCATTTATTAATTATATTTTATTTATATTCGGTTTAGATTCATTTTGGCTAGCTGAAAACCATACATAGATATATTGGCTTTTAGCGATACTAAATATATCTAGAGGTCTACTTATTTTTGTATATATTTATTTTATCCTATATTATATCAACGATGTCAATGATTTTTGCGATTCTATGGAATGGTTGAATATTTTTTTTACCATCTTTCATTATTTATTCTAAATATAAATAAATATATGATTTTATTTCATTATCATTTTTTACTTAAAACATTTTTAAATTAATAGAAACAAATATAAATTAATAAATTTAATAAACAACAAGTTAAATATAAATATAATTAAATAATATAAAAAAATTACATTTAATCTACACATTCCCATAATTCCTAATATTAATATTTTTTTCTATTTTCAGTGCCTATGGTCATAAATACCATCCATTCGAAAATGATGAATATTAAAACCCGAAATTCATTTAAACAACTTTAAAATTGTGTGTCATATAAATGTTAACAAATTTCAAAACATATAGATATCAATAAAATATATTCATATTAAATATATATAATAAAATTAATAAATAATATTTTATTTGTTATAAGAATAATTTTATTATGTAAGTATATTAAATCTTAATTGTGATACTAAGGATGATTTTTTGTAAAGTGTTACAATGTTAATGTTTTGTTGCCAAGTTCAGCCAAGTTCAGTTTTGAAGTTTTTTGTAAAGTTATACTTTACAATCATCCTGTTCGTTGGCATTTCAGTTTCTGGGATTTGTGCAACCAGAGTATTAGATTTTTTCAAGACCAGTCATCCTGTTTGTAATTACTCTAAGAGCAGCCCTCTTCGCCTGTGATTGCACATGAATGTGAAGAGGTATGAGTTCCAGGAGTACTTCAATTGATGATGGGACATGTTCTCATTGCTCATATGCAAGAATTTGTACCTTGTTGAGTGTGTTGATAACGCTTTGTTATTTTGTGCAGTTTTGCCAGACTATTGATCAAGGGCATAATCAAGATGGAATTATGTGTTGATTGATCTTTCCGTCTTACAAGGCAAAGAAGTGTTTTATAAAAATTTTCATTATGAAATGTTGGTCCATTGAGTATTCTGCTCCACTTTTGAATAATGTGATTGATCAGTGACAAGGGGATCTGACTGAGCTGGCAGCTGCTATACATTAATATAAAACACTTTTTGGTCGTTGATTCTTATGAATATAACTTCTTTACAGATGTCTGCTTCCTAGTTACACCAATGATATTAACTCCCTTATATCCCTTAACTGATATTTTCGACATACACATACATTTTCATACGGCTTAAGATGCAGTCAATAATAAATCTTCTCCACTAATAATATTTATTACATTAATGTATAAATAGATGTATTCCAAAAATGCTTAGAAAATTATCAAACTCATATATTAGATTACACGAATTTATGATTATTTATCTACCCGTGTAAAAATTTAGATGTGGTTTAGACGTAGAAAATCAGAGTATGTACGATTACTTTTTCAATAAAATAAATATTTAAATTATTGTCATTATCTCAGACCTTGTCAGTCATACAAGAATTTATAATCCTGATTTTTCTAAATCGAAATCTCAACGATAAGACCAGACTAGTGTAAATAAGAGTTAAATAAATATTAAATCGACCCGGTTAAAAAATATATGATAAACAAATTGTTAAATATTTGATTGTTTAATTAAATATTAAATTTTCGTGTTCATTGATAAGTAAACAAGGTAAATTATTTAATGATAAATATACAAATATATACTAAGATCAAATAAAAGTTAATTGTTTTTGTTTTTAATGCGTATTAGCCTATTTAAATTTATTCAATAGATTTTAATAAAAAAAAAAATGAGTTTATTATTGATTAAATTTTAATAACTTTAAAAATATTACTTAAGAAAATAATTAACGTAATGCTAATTTTAAGATCTACGGAAGTGTTTAGAAACATAAATAATTATAAGGATTGTTTTTTAAAGTAAATGCTTTATATATATAAACAAATTATTAACTTTGACGAAGGCTTAATAGCTAGGTGCTGTCTTCTTTCCCGAAATAATATTTATAATAAAAAAATATTTTCATTTATATATTTCTATTTTACTTTTATATTTTTATTAAAAAAATAATAAAATAATTATAACTTTAACCGAAATAAAAATTTTTAAAAATGGTAACACTTATTTAAAATGAGAGTTCTCAAATCAGCAATAATTTTTGGGTTTCGTTTTTTGAACAATGAATAGTGACGAGAAATTCTTGGAGTTTCAAGAAAAGTAGAATATAGTCTTTATATTCTAAAGAGACTAAAGAGACTATAAGATTTAAATTTTAAAGTCATTTAAATCCTAAAAAGAAATTAAATTAAATTAAAATGATTATAAAAGCTTCAAAGTAATGGAGGCTTAAGTATGTATATTACTTAAAGAAACCATATAAGACCGACCATCTGTAACTGACATTCTCAATTTACTTTGCAGATGAAGATTTTGCTGCACAAAATCTGCTTAAAGTGATTTAAAAATATACCATATACCTTTGGGCACTGTAAACACCTCTAATATAGAAATACTACAAATGTACTAATCAATAACACTAAGGTATAAAATAACAACTTTATTATATATAGTACTTCATTCATTAGGACTTCTGAAAAAAAAATGTTGAAAATCTAGCAATAGTTATATAGAGACGCTAAGCCGGTATCCCAATGAGCTAACAATCGATCGTTCGGTCTCTGAAATGAGCTGTGTACTCCTCTTTTCGACAAATTTGCTGAAGTGTGTGAGTAAAAACGATAAAATTTTTATTATTTTTGTTACAAAAATTACCAAAATTATTTTAATGTGTATATATATAGAGTAGTTATATGGGCAGCCCCAATAAAAATTTAATTAAGTTATATTAAAATTAATTATAAATAACTCCAAAAAAAATACATTAAAAAATTTCTATTAAATTGAAGAAATGTCCTCATTATTACCGCCCTTTTCTAATCCAAAATTTCGTTACTAATACTATCCTTTTAGGACTTAACATTCTTAATGAAAATAATATAACCAAAAAAAATAATTTCTAAAAATTTTAACAAAATGTTGCTATTCGAAGAAATGATATATTTATTTATTTGAAATTGAAGATATTTGAAAACTGACATAATTTAATGAATTGAATTAGTTTCGCGTTAATTAGAGTTTTCGATAGACAGTGGTTTATAAAGCCTTTTCTTTGATTTCCTGCATTTTGGTAAATATTATAATAAATCCTCTCACATTCCTTTTTATTCGTATCTAACGAATTACATCCCGTATTAAAGCTGTTTAATCAAAGAACATGCTGTATATATGTTGGAGTGTTTTATGTTGGAGAGATTAAGACCTTTCGAAATAAAGGCAAGATGGTCTATATTTTTATTACATTGTTATGATGTTGTAATAAATCTTGTCACATTCTTTTTTTTTCATTTTTTGGGCTAAAGAATCACCTTGAACGGCAACAAATATGCTAAATATATGTTATACCTATATGTAAATGTTATATGACTTAGAACTTTCGAATTAAAGGCAGCACGATCAATATTTTTTAAATAAAAATAACGCATTGAGCGTATACATAACTGTTTTATGATTAACTAGTGCTAAGTAATGAATACTTTTTTTTTAAAGATGTCCATTCAATAAACTTGTTTATCACCCTTTGTGTGTACCAATTTTTTCTAACAAGTTTTACTTAAAGATAGAAATAATTCCACTGAATAAAATAAATTTTGAAAACTGTGTTAAGGATAATATCTATTATCACTGTTTGAACTCGGTAATTACTACCTTTGGATTATATATAATTTATTTATTAGTGAAAAAACCTGTGAAAACTCTGTTTAGGATAATATACCTATATTTATTTTCACTGTTCAAATTTGTCATTTAATACCTATGGTATTTATAAAAATTAGTAACCAATGTTATTTATTATAAATAATGTTATTTATCAATTTTATATCTCCTCTCATTGTAAAAACATGAAATAATTTTAAATATTATATGAATATGAATATATTCTAAATGCAAATATAATTCTGGAAAATTGAATAGAATTATATCAAAACTTGTAAGCGGTAAGAATACTTCAAAATTTGCTAATATTATTTGGATCATTGTTCATTGATTATTCTAATTTCGATATATATATACAATATGTAATTTTGTCTTTTGAAATGTGGATAGATATAATTGTCTTATTGTTCATATTTGTATATTATTATTATACTATTAAAATCACATGATCACAAACTTTTTTTCCAATTGAGCACATCGATTTCTCTGTGTGCATTTCTAAGGTTTCCACAGTATGAATCAGTAAGAAATTCGTACGAAAACCCGCATTTCGCATGGTTCGCTTTAGTTGATTTGAAAGTTAAGTTCAAGTTGAAGCCTTTTAAGGTTCAAGTATGAGTTCACATTTTTATATTTAATATATATTCAATGTAGTTTATTTAACAAATTAGTCATTAGCCATTATCACAAATACATTTGTTGTTTAATTTCAATCAAAAGCACTGATTTCGAATGGTGCTAGAAATTCGTAATGAAAATTTAAATCATTTTCTATTGATTAGTACATCTATGCACCAACCGATTTCAGTTCTTTAATTTGAATTCTTAATCGATCTTTGGTTCAACAAAAAATTATCACTATTGATCCTTGACGGTTAATAAAACTAAAGCACTTTTTGTTATCCTGAGCGTTATGTTGTGTGAATTTAATTAATTATCCAAAGTGTGATGATTGCAACCAACTTGAACCCCGTCACGATGTCAACTGTCTGCGTAAAATGTGAAACCTCAGCTTAAATGTGTAAAACCTGTTACAGCTGAGAAACTATTTACAATAGTGATATTTTTTGTCACTTCGGTATGTGTCTGTCTCCGTATCTATAGTGATCTTATATTTCCTCAATGCATACATTGTTATTATGTTTATGATGCAGTATTAATAATTATTGCATCCTTGTCTGTACTTGTAACAGCACACACAATCGAAAAGCGCACTGCGTATTGAGTTTCCAAAACTGCTCTAATTCTTCTATAATTACAAGTATATTTGTCATAACTTATGGTAATATATTCAACTAAATAGTGTCTACAATATATGGTATGTGGAAGTTGGCGTTACTGCTTTCTATAAGTACATCAGTGTACGAGCATTTACCCAAAACTATCTGCTTAAGTTTGAGCAGATAGTGCATGCATAGTTTAAACCAGGTTGCACAATCTTTACCTACTTTGCGTCGTAAGAAGTACAATAGAAAATATGTCTATGTTTGTAATTTAATTCAAGCGAATACCTCACATTCGTTGCAATGCATTAGAAATCGACTTGAAAGAAAACAGCTTAGAATAATTTTGGTTTCAATTACAAAATTGTAAAAGAAGGAAGCCAGTCACCACAACTGTTGAGTCTAAGATACGGGTAACTCAGTTGGCAATTAAGTGCCTTTACA